TGTTTCACCTTGACTGCCAGATTATACCATCTCACAACCACTAGATGGATGCCACTGCTAGTGGAGGTTTCCTCATCGCGGTTATCTCCAGCCCAGTAGTCAGCACTTCTGTGTTTATATGAATGATCATTAATATGGTCATAATTATAAATTCACTGTTACAAAACTACGCAAAAAACTAAGGATTTTTTTACCCCAGGAATAGATTACCATAGCTGAATTTGGCAAAACCTTTCGGAATTTTGGGTCCTCAATGCTCATTAACTCCGTACTTTATTTTGGCTTTTTTAACTTTTTAATTCGAGTGTCACTGATGAGTCTTTTGTAGACGAAACGCGAGTCTGGCGTACAAAATTTAAATCCTGGTATCTATGAGTTTATGAATGCTTCCAGCGTCAAACGTAAACTCCGAGCGTTTTCTTGATTCTTGTCCGCCTCAAAATATAACAAAATTTTATATAAAGAAGGTTTCTAGGTGCAAAATTCGAGTTTTTTGCTTATTATTTGAGAAAATACATGTATTACATTAGAATGCAAGTTACATGTATATCAGCTGGTAATGTACAAGTTGTAGAATTTTTTCACTTGCACATTAAATAACCAATCAAGCATTTAATTTAATTCTAGAAGTAACTGGAGACTGGAGTAAGAGTGATACTTCACTCCATAACAGCCTATATAGGAACTCCTCAGGAATCTTCATCGCCTATGTCGCAGACGTAATCAAGACCGGAAGTCAAAACATCACAAAAAGCCTAAAATAACAAGAGTGTACACGCTGAAATGTCTCGCCACCTTTCATAACAATAATTGATTTTATGTTGATTGTGACTGTTATAATAAAGTTTTGATACAAGTACCACATAACCAAGCCAGACAGACGTGTACAGCTTACAATCATGGCATTCCATTAACCAAAAATAGTTGACTTATTGCTATAGTATACAAAAAAAAAAAAAAAAAAACAACAGACCAAACTGTGAAAGATTAATATAGACCATAAACCATGAAAATTGGGGCAAGGTCAGATAAACCCTGCAAGACAGACATGTACACCTTACAATCTGTCCAATCGCATCAAATATAGTTTACCTTATCTTATTGCTTACTTGCTAAACAGTATCTAAGAAACAGACTTAACATTGACCAACGAACAATGGACAGATATTACGTATATATAGCTACCAGACATATATGATGTTCATTTAACAAACATTTCATATACCAAATATCCGTAACCTATTGCTTATAGTATACAAAGAAAACACAGAACAAACCATGAAAACTTAATATGTACCAAGGAACCATGAAAATAAGGTCATGGTCAGATGAACCCTGTCAGACAGACATTTACACCTTACAATCATTCCGTACACTAAAAATAGTTGAAATGTTGTTTATAATATTATAAACTGTTAACACAGAGATATGTCTCGCCTTTTTTGTTATTTTGAAAATGCATATGTAGAAATTAAAATAGCAATTCTTTTAACATGTAAGATATGCAAATATTCAAAGTCAATGAATCATGACGGAAGGTACATGGCTGAACAATCTCCATGGAAATGAGATGTGCCAATGCCAATACAACTGCTTACCAAATACCATTGACTTATCATAAGTCGTTCTCTTCAAAACAAACCTAAACACAAACATTAACTTGTAAACTATGTAAAAGTTTCAAAGTCAAGGAACTATGATGAGGGGTTGGGCTATATAATCTCCATGGAAATGAGACTTGCAACCAAATATCATTGACTTAACATTAGTGGTTCATCTTAACCTGATTTAATCACAAACTTATACATGTAATCTAAGCAAAAGTTTCAAAGTCAATAAACTATGACTGAGGGGGTAAGGACCAAATATTCCCCATGGAAATGAGATGTGCTAATGCTTATACAACTGCATACCAATTATCATTGCCCTACCACTAACGGTTCCCCTTAAACTTACCTAAAAACAAACTAATACATGTAAACTAAGCAAAAGTTTTAAAGTCAATAGACCATGACTGAGGGGGCGGGGCCAAATAATCTTCATGGAAATGAGATATGTCACTACTTATACTTATACAACTGCATACCAAATATCATTGACCTACCACAAGTGGTTCCCCATAAACTGATCTAATCACAAACTAATACATGTGAACTAAGCAAATGTTTTAAAATCAATAGACCATGACTGAGGGGGTGGGGTCAAATAATCTCCATGGAATAAAGGTGTTCCAATGCTTATACAACTGCATAACAAATATCATTGAACTATAAGCAAAAGTTTTAAAGTCAATAGACCATGACTGAGGGGTGGGGTCAAATAATCTCCATGGAATAAAGGTGTTCCAATGATTATACAACTGCATAACAAATATCATTGACCTACCACTAGTGGTTCATCATAAACTAGACCTAATCGCAAACTAATACATTGTTGACGCCACCGCCGCCGCCAGAAACAGCATACCTATGTCTCGCTTTTTGACTCCTTCAAGGTGAGACAATAAAAATAATAAACAGCTGCGCCACGAGCGCATGATATGCCCGTCGTCTTGTGTGTGAGGTTTTATGCAATAATCATAAATCGTTTCTGAGATACGACGCGACATGTGAAAACCTCCCTTTTTTATAAAAAAAATCAATAACTCTAAAATAAAATTTTTGAATGATCATCACCAAAAAGTATACAGATCTTTAGATTAATATAACTAAGAGGTTTGTAAAGTTTTAAGCAATAATTATAAATCGTTTTTGAGATACGGCGCGACATGTGAAAAAAACACCCCCTGTTTTAGTTACAAAGTCCCGTAACTCAAAAAGTTTTAATCTTATTCTCACCAAAAAGTATACAGATCGTTTGACCATCATAAGAAACAACTATATTAAGTTTCATGAAATTTGGATAAGTCGTTCTCAAGTTACGGTGCTACATGTGGACGCCGGACAGACGGACAGACAGACAAACGGACGCCAGACATTTGTATACCATAATACGTCCCGTCAAAATTTTGACGGGCGTATAAAAACAGAACAAAACACAAAACAAACGCATTGACCAATAAACAGTGAAAATGAGGTAAAGTTCAGATGAAGCCTGCCAGACTGACATGAACACCTTACAATCATTCCATACACCAAATAGTTGACCTACTGCTTACAGTATCTGAAAAAAGTACCTAAATCACGTAGCATTAACCTTGATCACTGATCCATGAAATGAGGTCGATGTCAGGTTAACCCTGTCTGATGGACATGTAGTCCTTGCAAGGAACCCATATACCAATTACAGTTATCCTATTACTCCTAATAAGTCAGAAATCCACATGACAAACAAAAAACTTAACTGTTTTACGCAGTTGCGGAACCATGAAAACAAGGAAAAGGACAAATGTCTTGACAAAGTCCCACATCAAAGACTCTTATACAAATTTTATTTTCAATTTTGTACACAACTATTTCATGCATTTTGTTGGGCAGAATATTCATTTTTATCCTGTCTTTAGAAGAGTTATTTTTTTCAGTTCTTACTTCAGAACAGGATATTCTTTTCCAAAATTCCTCCATTTGCTCCCTGCAGAAAATCAAATGGACGTCCTCTAATGCAATATCAGTGTAATTTAACTTTTTTGTTTAGTAAAATACAATGTATGAGGCCAAATTTCAAAGCGGAAACATTTCCACATATGTGGATATTTAGAATACTATATACTAGTATAGTAGATTAAATTATGCACAATTTAGTGAACCCTGTAGAGCCCTTTGTGATCTTTTGTGAAAAAAGAGAATTTTCATAAAATTAATTTCTATGGGAATAGCTCTTTGCAAACATTAAATAATTTACTCCATAGTTATTGTATCTTTATTGAATGGTCCTCTGCACTTCAGAACAGCACAAATGGTCAGGTTCAGTCAATAATTGAAAACAGTAGCATCCCCAATATCATGGCGGAGGAGGATGTTTACAAATAATAAATAGTAAAACTAGAACAGTAAAAGTGACGGCACCAAAATTCAAACTTGATCTGTATATTATGGTAATAAACATTGTGTATACGTTTCATAGCATTTGGTTGAGGCAAACTTAAGTTAGAGAACGGAAACGAAAAATTTAGCAATTTTTCCTTTTGTAAAGGGGCATAACTCTAGAAAGGTAAAAGTGACGCCACCAAAATTCAAACTTGATCTGTATTTAGTGGTAATAAGCATTGTATATAAGTTTCATAACATTTGGTTGAGGCAAACTAAAGTTAGAGAATGGAAACCAACTTTGGGACGTACGTCTGTTCAGACAAGGGTAAAACTTAATGCCCCCTCTGCTACGGCGGGGGCATAATAACAAAAATACTGAACTCCAAGGAAAATTCAAATCGTAAAGTCCCTTATTAAATAGCAAAATCAAAAGCTCAAACACATCAACGAATGGAAAACAACTGTCATATTCCTGACTTGGTACAGGCATTTCCTTAGGTAGAAAATGGTGGATTAAACCTGGTTTTATAGGTAGCTAAACCTCTCACTATGACAGTCGCATAAAATTACATTATAATGACAACAATGTGTTCCTTAATCTGAAGCTTGTTTGGGATATCATGAAAAGTACAGATTGATGAACTGTCTATGCTATACTTATACCTCTAATATGTAAAATTGCACACAAAGATGTTGATTTTACAAGATTTACAGTTATGCTTGCTATATTTTGTAAATGCAGCTTTTACACTGCAATTCAAAGTCTTTTATAGCTTGATGTGAGGTACGGGTTTTGATCATTGTTGAAGGCTGTACAGTGACATATAGTGCTAACCTTCTACCGCATTTGGTCTCTTGTGGAGAGTTGTCTCATTGGCAATCTTACCACATCTTCGTATTTTTATTTTGACCTTTGACATCACAAATTATACTGATATACATGTATATATAAATTTTAAAGGGCATCTTTAGTTAATATTTAACAATTATACCACAAAAATCCAATATAGCAACTGACTCCCAAAAAAAGTCTTTTTGTTATAAGCATTTATTGGGTTGTATAAAATATGCATATATAAAAAAATATTATGTATAAAAATAGATTTTATTAAACAGTCAATAAACAAAAGTTTTAGTACACTTTGAAAATTTCCTTATTTTTTGTCAAAGAGAACATAAAAACAGTGCTTACAATATATCTTCTGCTCATTATGTTAGTTTAAACTTGCATATCACATTTTTATTATGGGAAAAAATTCAGACAAACAAAAATTCTTTTAACAACAGATATTTCTTGTCTTTTAAACAGGGAGACTGAAAAAAAACTAGTGCTTTCCAGTCCACTTCATACAAAAAGAAAGTTTTTTTTTCTTATGCATGTATACAAAAGAAAAAGTAAAGATGTTATAACAACAAAATATACAATATAACAACAAAAAAAAGCAAAATGTACAATAAAACACCAAAAAATGACAATAGTTGATAAACTACAGGTTTTGTCTGCTGCAATACTTAAATACTTTACAAAGGTCAAAATCTCTAAAACTGAGGAAAATGTCAAAAGCAACATGTGAAATTTTAATGCACTCTTGTTGGATCTCTTACACTATATACACTGTTAGTCTCACTGCCCCCAGTTTCATAGAAACAGACCAAATAAAAACTATGACAACTGAGATGATTGATTTATTGTTGCTTGTCTACCACTCAGTGACAAATATTTCATGCACATTCATGCCACTGTCATACAAGTGAGAGGTTTAGCTAGCTATAAAACCAGGTTTAATCCACCATTTTCTACATAAGGAAATGCCTGTACCAAGTCAGGAATATGACAGTTGCTATCCACTTGTTTGATGTGTTTGAGCTTTTGATTTTGCCATTTGATAAGGGACTTGCCGATTTGAATTTTTCTTGGAGTTTGGTATTTTTTTTACTTTACTTTTTTTTACAGAATTGGAACATATGAACATTAAATATAAAAGGTATTTTTTTCAGAGTGGGTCAACCTCAATAAAAGCCGGAAATTTTTACTGCAACTGGAAAATGAGGGTATATTGGATAGGGGCAGATATACCAATCAAGTGTGAATTAATGTCAGTCGCAAGTCTGACAGATATATACTCCTACCAACAAACTAGCCTCTGAAATATTGATGAACTCTCAAACATGGTTACTTAGGAATAGAAATTAACCTGAAAAATGAACTTGACCACTGGAGAGTGGAAAGGAGAGCATGGTCCTATGTCATTATTATCTGCCAACTTTTGAAAATCTACACTACAAAATGTTAGCATGATAGGTACTAAGGCATATCTTATACATGTCATTAAAATAGAGGTGAGAGGTCTTCAAAAATCCTCCAACATCCAAACTTTCTTCTTGTGAGCAATTTTACATTCATTAAATAATATAAAACCTTAAAATGGCCCATAATACAGGTACAAAAACAAAACTTCCCTTTCTCCCCACCTTTAATCACTTTTAATGGAAAAGTCCTTCCTGCCCACCTACATTGCTTTTAACGGAATAGTCCTTCCTTCACAACTATATTGCTTTTAATGTAATAGTCCTTCCTTCACAGCTACATAGCTTTTAATGGAATAGTCCTTCCTTCACAGCTACATAGCTTTTAATGGAATAGTCCTTCCTTCACAACTACATAGCTTTTAATGGAATAGTCCTTCCTTCACAACTACATTGCTTTTAATGGAATAGTCCTTCCTGCCAACCTATATTGCTTTTAATGGAATAGTCCTTCCTTCACACCTACATTGCTTTTAATGGAATAGTCCTTCCTTCCCACCTACATTGCTTTTAATGGAATAGTCCTTCCTGCCCACCTACATTGCTTTTAATGGAATTTACCTTTCCCAGCAAACTACATAGCTTTGAATAGAATAGTCCTAATTGTATCACTAATTAGCATGATTTACTTTATTTCATACTGACATAATGGCTAAAATTGATCAAAATATATTCAACTGCTCAGTAAAAGTTTATACATAAGCACATGATAAAAGAAATAATCAATAGCACTGAATAAATAAATAAATAAACCAAAAAAATCACCCGATGAGCCATAGAACACAAAATAAATTCTAATATAAACAAGCACTCTTCCTTTTATATACATGTATGTATAATTTAACCCAGCACTCATCTCAAAGATTATGATACAAGCAAATTTTATGGAATCAATAAATATTTTTCAGATATTGTGAAAGGGGAGATGGTAGGTTAAAATAAAAAAAAAACAAAAAACAATAGAATTTTTAAATGCTTGTCAAAATGAAATTTTAAAAAGAATGGTTCACAGGTTGTGCAAAATTGTCAGATTTTGCATAGATTATTCCAGGGTTGGCAGAAACCCAGGTTTTATGAGTATTGCTTAGCCCAGTGGGAAAAACTGGGAAAACCTGGGTTTTACTGGGTAATACTGGGTAATGTGAAATACTGGCCTGATTCGCAAAGAGGATTCAGTGATTAATCACAAATGCAAGATCGATATAAATAAGACATAGTCTTTTAATTTAATTCATAAGTTCACTTGTTTGAGACTCTTATTATAAAGTGTATAAATCTGAGAAAGTATTGGTCCAGAAACTCTTAAGCAGTACATGAGGACGTATTGAAAAATGTGAAAAGCTTTCTTAATAATCTTACTAACAATCTATTAAATGGCCATTCTGTATAAATTGATCAAACTCTTAACAAGAAGCCAACCAACCAATTCAATTTTTTTTTTTTTAATACATGTATTATTAAGAATAAACAATTAATTGTATGTAAGGAAATGACTTTTCATTCTTTTTTTATCACTGCTAAACAAAATTTACTTAGTTTTAGCATACTTATATGTACATCACTAATCCAATAGTAATTATTCGGATTATACCGGAGATTTGTTTACCTAACAATAATCTGCCTTTTCATTTATACAATTGTTCATAACATGTCCCTTATGGTGTTTATTTAGCAATATGATTGTATAACAATTAAAAGTTACAATTCACTCATACACTGCACAAAAAGGTATACTTTTCAAAGTTTGGGTTATTGAAACAAAGTTTGGTTATAAACAAGGTATCCAAAAATGAACAAAACTTAATTGTATTCTGCCTGCATAGAATTATAGGAGAAGAGAAAGAAATTGAATTTTAAATCCTCTGAAAATGACTCTCAATGATCATCTGTATAAAATGTATATAATTAGCTATGATACTATAAAAGTAAAACATTTCTTTAGTATTCTGTGTAAAAACATGAAAAATAAGCTCAAAAAATCATATTGCCCTGTATTACCCATTTCTGGGAGTATTGCCCAGCCTGGGAAAACCAGGACCCATACTTTGCCAACTCTGGATTATTCATGGAAAAACCACTTTTATGTGAATAGAAAAAGAGACTGATTGAATTAAAAACAAGAAATGATTGTAACAGGATGCTGTTACGAAGTCTCCCAAACGAAGCTCCCATAATTCGTAATTCCCAGGGTCGCCTGACATTGGGCCACATCCAGTGAAAATTGGTTTGGTCCAGTAAAGTTATATGCATTAGTGATGCCTGGGGACTAACCTTGTATATCATTCAAATCATCTTGGCATGACAAACCAGAATATATATGGTTTAGGGGTGGGGATCTCGACCATTTACAAGATACTAGAACATTGTTGGTGGGGAGGAACCCCTGGGGACTGGCCCTATACGTCATTCAAATGTTCATTACATGAGGAACAGGAATATATATGGTTTAGGGGTGGGGATCTCAACCATTTACAAGATATAAGAACATTGGGGGTGGGGGGAACCCCTGGGGACTGACCGTATACGTCATTCAAATGTTCGAGACATGACAAATAGGAATATATATGGTTTAGGGGTGGGGATCTCGACCATTTACAAGATATTAGAACTTTCTCAAATGGCAGGGGGTCGGGATGACCCCTGGGGACTAACCCTGTATTTCATTTGATGTGCTTTATCATGACAAACCAGAATATATATGGTTTAGGGGTGGGGATCTCAACCATTTACAAGATATTAGAACTTTCTCAAATGGCAGGGGGGCGGGATGACCCCTGGGGACTAACCCTGTATATCATTCAAACCATCTTAGCATGACAAACCAGAATATATATGGTTTATGGGTGGGGATCTTGACCACTTAGAAGATATTAGAACTTTCTTTAATGGCAGGGGGTGGGGGTGACCCCTGGGGACTAACCCTGTATTTCATTTGATGTGCTTTATCATGACAAACCAGAATATATATGGTTTAGGGGTGGGGATCTCAACCATTTACAAGATATTAGAACTTTCTCAAATGGCAGGGGGTCGGGATGACCCCTGGGGACTAACCCTGTATATCATTCAAACCATCTCAGCATGACAAACCAGAATATATATGGTTTAGGGGTGGGGATCTTGACCACTTACAAGGTATTAGAACTTTCTTAAATGGCAGGGGGTGGGGTGACCCCTGGGGAATAACCCTGTATTTCATTTGATGTGCTTTATCATGACAAACCAGAATATATATGGTTTAGGGGTGGGATCTCGACCATTTACAAGATATTCGAACTTTCTCAAATGGCAGGGGGTCGGGATGACCCCTGGGGACTAACCCTGTATATCATTCAAACCATCTTAGCATGACAAACCAGAATATATATGGTTTAGGGGTGGGGATCTTGACCACTTAGAAGATATTAGAACTTTCTTAAATGGCAGGGGGTGGGGGTGACCCCTGGGGACTAACCCTGTATTACATTTGATGTGCTTTATCATGACAAACCAGAATATATATGGTTTAGGGGTGGGGATCTCGACCATTAACAAGATATTAGAACTTTCTCAAATGGCAGGGGGTCGGGATGACCCCTGGGGACTAACCCTGTATATCATTCAAACCATCTTAGCATGACAAACCAGAATATATATGGTTTAGGGGTGGGGATCTTGACCACTTACAAGGTATTAGAACTTTCTTAAATGGCAGGGGGTGGGGGTGACCCCTGGGGACTAACCCTGTATTTCATTTAATGGGCTTTATCATTTAGAACATTTTCAATTAAAAAGATTGTGTCTATCACAAACGGTTTTCAATTTATAATCATTTGAAAATTTTTTAAAATAAAATCCCATAGGGTTCTATAGTAAAACCCTCTTTTCTTTTTGCCCCTCAAAGTACCCCTTTATAAACCCCATTGCACAAACAAAACCCTGATTGCACCACTAGACATGTTAGTCTAACATATTGTGAAACCCTAAGTTAATCTGACAAGCGGTTTTGGAGAACGGGTGCGGACAAGTTCAAATTTAAAAGCGGCGGAAGAAGAAGAAGAAGAAGAAGAAGAAGAAGAATAATAATAATAATAATAAGAACTGAGCAAAAACAATAAGTCTTCCCAAACTTCGTTTGGGAGACTTAATAAATGATAATTTTACAATTCAAAAATAAAAATTGGGTTCTTCTTGCTACAAAACAAAACATTTATTTTTTTAGAAAAATTATCGTGTTATCTCCCCTTATATAGACAAGTTTTTCTTAACAATAAAACAAAACAAAACCATTCTGTAATTGTAATACGCTAATCACATTATTTTCTTCATTTTAATTAAAGAACTTATTGTAGTTATTGAAAAAATAATGAGAAATTATGGAACAAGTAAGGACAGGATGACTGGAACCTGTTAGACAATTTTGTTTACATATTTACATAAATAACTCATTTTCAAATAAAAAAAAAAACTTGACATTAATGCATTCAAAACAACTTTCAAGTAGTCAGGCTGAAATATCACCAGAATGTTTTAGAACCACTAGTGACCAGAAACCCCTGCTATGAATAGACTGCTACCCACAACAATGTCATGTTTGAAGTGGTAAATCAATTAAAATTAAAGACAAATTGGAAAGGATACACATCTACCCAACATTTTGTCCAACTATTATAGTGAGTATAGGAGTTAGGCCATTGAAAATTGAATGTTGGTTTCCCCTAACACAAGAAAACATTTAAGGGTAGGCAGGCAGGAAAAAATTTTGATTTTATTTTATTTTCTAAAATTTGAAATTCAAATGTGGCACATACAGTTTCGCTCTACAGAGATTATTTTTTTAAACCACTGACAAACAAATTTTTTGAAAAAAAAACTTGTTTGACATTATATCGTGATCTATATTGTGATATAAGCTATTTTAAACTATAAGAATGACAAATGGAACTTTTACAAGAAATTATCCGACAATCAAAGCGTCATTGATAATTGTCTTAAAAGAGAGTTTTGCTCTTTTTTTCATCTAGTAATTAAAAGAATTGACCCGGAGGTTAAAAACAGACCCGGTTGAGTTAGGGGAAACCTACCATCTTTTTTGCATGGCCTTAACATTTGTAGAATTTTCCTTATGATTTTTTTTTAACTTGGCAAGCCTCACATTTCAAATAAGGAAAACAAATTGACATTACATTTCAATAACAGGAGTTGTGGTAGAATCTGTTTTTCCTCTTTAATTTTACAAATTTCACTATTTTGAAAGTTTTTTATTTCTCAATGTACTGTGGATTCATTTAGTTATTGTGGATTCTGAAAAAGGAGTATTTCTGTGGATTCTTGATTTCTAGGTTTTCACAAATTTTGTATACAAGCCTTTCAGAAGTTTATATTCATTTAAGGATGTTCGCTACTCTGTTTTAAAATAATAAATTTTTAAAAGACCGTTTTAAATTGATAGTATATAAATAAAGGAACTATAAAAGTAGAAAAAAATGAAGGGTTCGTGTGCTTGTTTTGGAGATACAAGCCATTCAAAATTTGACGGGAAATGATTCTCTCTAGATTTTTCATACATATTACATTGGCACCTTTTTTCTTTCAAAAACTATGAAAAAATAACAAGGATTTGAAAAGATTTTCAAAGATGGCATTATAAACTATATGTAATCAAATTATGAAAAGAAAAGTAGGGGTTAGAGGGCAATGTTTTTAATGACACTACATGGATAAAACCAGAGGATTCTGAATATCTGACAAAAATTCAAAAATGAGGAGGAGCGAACATCCTTAATATTTAAATTTATAGTTCATCTTCACCCATAAAAATCCATGAATATTAGTACCCAAGGAAAAAAAATGAATCCACAGTAATTATTTTGTTTTGGTAATTGAGTTTGGTACAATCATAAGAAGTACATGAAAACTTTTAAAATATAAATAATCCATGATTCTAAGTTAACAACTACATGTATTTAAAACTGATTGACCTCATGAAGTTGATGCCTGTATCGGCACTGTTTCACACTGGTGTGGGAAAAAATAAAAACGTTTTGATAATGTTGATTCAAACTCTGACACAGCAACTGCATCCCTGTTCTCCCTATCCTTGGCTCTTCCTAGACTAACTAAATGGTTAACCTGAAATATAAAGCAACAGTCAGTTTATGACGTGTATAAATAACTAGAAAATGTATTACCAAAATTCTAAACTTTTACATTTCTATGTAATTTCATGGTATTATTTCATAAGACAAATAATATCTATTTTATTTTATCTAACTGAAAATTAGTAAATGAATATGAGTATGTGTATTCATTTGATACATTATAATGTGTACAAAATAACAGTATTTTTCTAAACGTAAAAACAAAGAAATATGCTCATGTACAGTCAAACCTGGGTAAACAAAACCCTGAATAAACTGGTTTCTTGTTGATTCAGGCCGAAAATTGAAGTCCCATTTTTTTCCTTCAAAGTCTTTGTAAAAATACTCCTTGTAAACTGGACCCTGTGTATTCTGAATTCCGGTCTAATTATGCAGTCCAAATACTCTTAATTACATTAATTATTACCTGTAAAAACCGGTTTGTTTAATTAATTAGGGCCCCGCCTAGTGGCAGGTCGCCCTATAGTGATCAGTCTGTCTGTCCGTCTGTCCCTCTGTAACAAAATGAGTCCGCTCTATATCGAGAGAACCGTTACAATTTCATACTTTATACTTGACATGTATATTAACCAACACCAGAGGGTGTGTCATAATCTTTGTAAAACTTCCTAGGTCAAAGTTCAAGGTCAGCGGGGCCCATAGAGATGGCTCCCATCTCAATGATGTCTAGTTTAACATGATATATGCAATCAAAAAATAATTGTTTATACAAGATGTTTTTTTTCGGGATAATCAATAAGCAAGGTGTTAAACAGTGAACATGGTGAACTTACAGCAGTGAGCTTTATTATTGAAACACTATAAATTTTAATTAAAATAAACTAAATGAAAAGCTGAATACATCTCGGATAGAACTTACGTTGTAACTTTTGATAAATTTTTCAAATCACATTGTGTTTTCGAAATGCTGGGTTTCCTGTTGTGAACCCCAAAACCAATGACTGTGGTAATAAAGAAGACTCGAATGAGGACATTCCATTGTCGAGTTAATTGGTATCGTACGATCATGATGAAATTTCGTTTGATGAAAATCATACTTTTTAATCAGCAATACCAATGTAGGAAATGAAATAATGAATAATTCAAACTACCCGAGGACTCTGATGCAAATGAAAACAATGAACTCAATGTGAAAGTGAAACTGATGAGTCGGAGACTGATGGTACAGAGGTCGATTTGACTTAAATGGATATGTAAAAAAAAGTTTGTTTTTTTTTAATTCGGGGGACAACCAATTTCTGAAATTTGTAAAACCAATGAATACAAGACTCAAAACAACGATCATGTGTATTTGGTGAAAAGGCAGGGAATAATTGTAATGTTCATGTCACAATATTTTCACACAAATATGACATAACTTTTAATAAATAGATTATCACGGTATTTGTATTTATTAGTTTACAATGTACAATGAGACAGAACTTGTACATGCAAAATATCTGACGTTTCAAGTCAATAACTTCCTGTCAAAACAAAAACCTGAATAAACTGATCCACTGTCCAAACCGGCCCTTTTTTCATAGTCCCAAGGCTGACCAGTTTATACAGGTTTCAATGTACTTTAAAAAAAAATATTTTTCAACTATTACAATAGATAAAACACCTTTATTTTAACAAAGTATTTTGTGTACAAAGTTTTATTTATGATATGAAATAAATATGTTGAATTCAGATTGACGTCCAGTCTCTAATCAACTTCATAAAAGAGTAGAAGTCCAAATTGAACGTAGATTCTATGTGCCTCTAATAAAAGTCTTTTTCTGTTTTTATGCAGTACAGTATTACAAAGTTTTTGATTTTGAGACTATAATTATCATAGGTAAGGGGGAGGATTTGGTACCAGCAAAAATATTTAAACCCACCACCTTCTGTATGTGCTTGTCCAAAGTCAGGAGCCTGTAATTCAGTGGTTGTCATTTGTTGCTGTTTGTCATATTTATCTTATTTGGTTTATTGTTTTGTACTTAAATCAGGCCGTTAGTTTTCTCGTTTTGAAATGTTTTACATTTGTCATTTCGGGGCTTTTTATACCTTACTATGCGGTATGGGTTTTGCTCATTGTTGAACATTGTACAGAGACCTATAGTTGTTACTCCTATGTCATTTGGTCTTTTTTATAGCATACTACATAGTTGCCAACTGACATGATATTCGCGTGTAATACACACTTTTTCAACGGTTTACACGCGAGGATTTTGTCACATGGCGTGTACACGCTTTTCACCACTTTACATGCAATTACACGCTTTTTCGTTGTTTTGATTTTTTGGTCGTTAGTGATATCACAATTCTCTGTTTTTTTCATTATTAGAGGATAAATACCGAAAATTTCTTGATCTTGACAGTAGACGAAGTATTAGATTGGGTCAGGATGCCAGGCTAAGAAATTGTATGGTGGCCATTGTTTATTTTTCTACATGGACGAACAGCAAGAAGCACTTAAGGTAAGTAGTTTGTGATTAGTTTTTACGATTTTGTGACTTTCTTTCAAATTCACGTAGGGGAAATGTACACAGGAAGAGGTCGCTTTCAGGACCTGTACCGTTGTCTACGGAGCTGATTGTTAAGTGAAAACGATGTCGATGTGAACGTCTAAGATTCAAGATTTATAAATTATATTTGGGAGTTAGAGTTTAAATGATCGAGGGATGAGTAACGCACTGTGCACCCTATGTTGCAATCATAACAATACATGTGAGAGGAGAACTACAATGTAGCTATCTGATTAAGCATTCAACGTGTTTAATGGTAATCAAATAACATGAATAATAAAATATTTTTCTTTTTCAGTTTCAAATCTAACCAACAGATTTCCACAGGCCATAGGGGATGGAAATATCACGGAACTATTGGATCAGTTCTCATAGTACCAGCTGTCTTCTGATGAACTACCTAGTTTTGACCAGGCAATAGCAACATATATAGTTTGTTTGGAGCAATGGCAGAGATAATAGATGACATTTTAGATGGTTAAAAAAAACGTTATGACACGCTTTCAAAGCTTGATAAAGCTATTTTAGTTCAGCTAATATCAATCCTGACTGTGACAGAGCATTTTCATTTATAAAGAAATTCACACTGAATTCTGATCAGAACTCGACAATGATATATTGTGTGCCTTGTTATCAAGTAAATGTAACCAAACTGGCAGTTCTTTTGAATTTGTACATGTACCTAGTGGTGTTGCTTTAAAAGCAGCAAAACAGACCACTGTTGAATACAATAAAAGTTTATAGTAGAATATTGTTTTTTATATTAACAAATTTGTATAATTTGAAATTATGAACATTGTTCTGAGTCATATTAAAAAGTCCACATCTACGTCACACGTTTTCACACGCTTTTTGACATGTCATGTCATGTCATGACATGATTTCTCATTGTCAGAGGTTGGCAAGTATGGCATACTATATATGCATTGTGGGTTTTGCTTATTGTTGAAGGCTGTCCAGTGACCTATAGTTGTTTATTTCTACATCGTTTGGTCTCTGGTGGAGAGTTGTCTCATTGGCAATCTTACCAATTATATGGTCATTTCTATATTTTGTAAATTTACTATTTGCAAAAATATGAATTATTCTAAATACTAAATATTTTCTTATCCCAGGCAGATAACCTAGCCGTATTTGGCACAACTTTTTGGAATTTTAGGTCATCAATGCTCTTCATCTTTAGGCCTGGCACCTTTGATAACTATTAGCTTGTCGTAATGTTCTATTGTATTGTTTATTTGTGTGTTTCTCTGTCCTGTATGTTCTTCCATTTATTTGTATTGTAGTCCTGTCATGTAATGTTGTCATTTTAGTGTTATATATAACATTGCCATTAAAGCGGGAGGTTTGGCTAGCCACAAAACCAGGTTCAACCCACTATTTTTTCTTAAAATGTCCTGTACCAAGTCAGGAAAATGGCTATTGCTATCTTATAGTTCGTTTCTGTGTGTGTTGCATTTTAGTGTTTCTGTTGTGTCTTTGTTCTCTTATATTTGATGTGTTTCCCTCAGTTTTAGTTTGTAACCCAGATTTTTTTCTTATCTTTATATTTTATAACTTTTCAAGATTATTGTTTGACCAAGTTTGCCCTTTTTCTTTTGAACATGATGTTTTTCTTCAACTTTAATATGGTTGATACTTACATCTGATAACATGGAGAGAATGTCTTCATTATGTGAACACTTTCTGAAAACATAGATAACTGCCTGCATGAACCAGGAGCCTAGAATTCTGTTTCTAAAGGACACCATGTCTGAAATTACAAAAAAATATTCATCTTACAAAAAAGGAAACAAAGACTCCAGTCAAATTACAAGCAGTGAAACCAGCTGTCCGAACACATTTCATAACCGATTTGAATAAAGGTTATTCCATTAAAATGAAACATACATTTACTCAAGTTATTTTGCATACTGTGGATTCATTATTATTCGTTGGTTACCAATTTTCGTGGGTTTCGTGGGTACAGGTAAACCACGAATTCAAATGTTCAACGAATTACAAATTTTATATAGGCTTTGTATAAAGAGATTGCTAAACCACGAAATTAAATATCCACGAAAATGCAAGTTTTCCTCAATCCACGAAAAATAAATGAATCCACAGTACATCAAATAGACCTACAACAGTAACCATAAATGACCCATGACCTATGTCTAAAAATAAAATATCTCTTTTTAACCTCCCACATTCATTTTAATAGAATGGCCCTAAATTGTTTGTGTATACATCCTATTTTATATATTTATGTGCATAATTATAAGTCCAATATTTGACGTTATATGTTGTAAATATTTAAATAATACATGACCACAATATAAACAAGTCCATAGGTTAATATGTTTTAATAAGGGTATTATCATTGCGTGTATTGGAAAAATTTCTGAACTAAGCTTTTTGATCACAACCAATTATGACCTAACTTGTTAGTTATCTTTGGCGGTTATAGTCTGTGATTTGAAATAGCCCTGCATCTGGGTTCTTCAATGAAAAGTTATAGTGTGATAGATATTTAGTAAAGAATTTTGAAGAACCAGTGCTAGGGGGCTACCTTGATCTTGCAGCAAGGCTTTATGCCAAAAATGATATTTCAAAGGAAGGCTGTACACCCCCACCTGAATCTGGTTTGGGCATCTTGTATTGGAAGACTTGAAAAAATCTGACTGGATTCTAATAAAACTAACAGAATTGTTTTATTTTACATAATGCCATTATAGAGCTTTCTGTTTACCTTTTTTTATTGTAATAATATGGTTTCCCTAAACAAAACTGGGATATTGCCATAACTATATAAATGGGGTAAGAATCTCATATTACAACACCTCCTAAACCACATGTAGTATATATCAATGAAATTGTTCCAAATTTCTAGGACTTAAAGCTATTGTGAATACCCTATTTCATTTTATGATCAGTAGGATATTTTAGGGGTCGTTTCAAAAAAGGCACATCAACTTCATCATATGTAAAACAAATAGTTCAGTATTGGATGGGGGTAGATTTTATGACTTTGTTTAATTCCCATTTTCTTTTAAGACAATGAACTATCCTCTAAAGTAGTTACAAGCAATTAAGAATTTTTCAATTTACAAACCCATCGTTGTTGCCATAGCAACTAGCCGATGTGAATCAGTTGCGATACTTTTCTCCACGGTTGCATCTGTATCATTGGCTTTCTCTACGGAAATTCTTTCAAAGTCAAGTCTAGTTCTTTCTAATGCCAGATTGACCACATTTCCGGACATTGCACAATCAGTACTTGATGCATCAGGAACAGTCTTATTTCTTCCCCCATCGTATTCCTCTGAAATAAAGAAAAACAAGAATGCACACGTTGTTGGGTTAAGCATACCCCCACTCGTAACTTGAAATACCAGAAAAAAGGAGGTAGGTGCCTGAAAGATCTGATAAGAATACACAATTACAACAAGCTGCTGACCAAATTTGGAATTAGTTGGTTTAGACTCATATGAGAAATTTGAGACAAAATTTTTAAAATTAATTCACCTCTCTAAAATAAGGGCAACCTCAAAGAAGTTATCTGCTAACCAAATATGAAGCTAGTTTGTTTAATAGTGTTTGAGAAGGTTGTGACAAACATTTTAAATTCATTTAAAATCCCCAAAATTCAAAGAATTGGCAAAATCTAAGTGTGTATCTGCTCACACCTTACAACTCATCACCCATGAGCTGCTGACCAAATATGAAGTTTATTTGTTCAGTAGCATATGAGAAATTTGTGACAATTTTTTTTAAATTCATTCAACATCTCTATAATTCAAAGTATTGGCAAACTTGAAGATGATTTCAGCTCACACCTTACAACTCATCACTGCCAAACTGTAGCCTGCTGATCAAATATGTAGTCATTCTGTTGAGTAGTTCATGAGAAAAGTGTGACGAAAATTATTTGTAGATGTTCTGATGGATGGTCAAGGTGGTTGCAATATAGCCCAACTTTCATAGTTGAGTATAGTAAGATCATAGAATACATACCCCCTCTACAGGCCTGAATAAAGAACAGTTTTGGCTTATTCTCCATACAGTGAAAATTTCTTGCATTAAACATGTCTTTGATATCTCTTATTTCAACAGTCTTCCCATCACTACCATATATAGCATTTTGTTTTCCGTGGGTCAGAATGATCAGAATAAAACAATCAGCATTTCTGTGGAACGCTACATCATTTGCTTCTTCTTGTAGAATGTCAACTATTTTCTATAAAAAAAAGAGGGAAAAACATGTCAAGATCCATTATCCATACTGTAAATTCAGAAATTATCGCAATAATTCAAACTCGCACTTTGAAATTTTTTCATACGAGTTAAACACGATTTTTCTCAATATCGCAAAAATTAAAATCGCATTTTAGTCTAAAATGACAAAATCGCAATAATAAATGCACGCAATAATTTCTGAATTTACAGTATCACTTTAGTTTGAAGTTTTCATTAAAAAATATTTCATGTTTTAACAATTACGATATTCAGAAGTTGCCGGAATATTAATGTTTACTTAATAAGTTCACATTTGCAATGAATTTCAAATCAATGAAATTATAGACCTTCTTGTTTCCCATTTCTAATATTTTTGATAAGAACTGACCTCCATTCATTTATTTTTCTGAAAGGTTTGGACAGACTCTCAAACTGATAGCCTAACAATATATATATATGTAAATGGCATGAAGTCAAATTGATCACTCCTAGTACTGTTTTTTTAATGGGATAAACTGACCTTTCAATTCTCAAGGCTAAATATCTATTTTGTAAGCTAATATCCAATACCAGGGTTCTCACTAGAAATTTTTCATGGTGAGTCCTGGGACTCATCACTTTTAGAAATGGTGAGTCCCAATAGATTTTGATGAGTCCAGGATGCATATAATTTTTTGTTATGAAATATGATGAAATAAAACTATGCGTGTTGGGTTTCAAAAATGATGTGTCAGCTCGATTTTCATGCATTTAGATGGCAATATAGAGTTGTATTTCATGAACTGCTATAAAGCAGATGGAAGTTTATAGTATCTCAAATAAAATTGATCTTTTTGTCTGAGAGTCTGTCAAGACCCTTCGAAAATTGGTATCCAAATTTTGAAGACTGCTATAAGATTTACAAAAATTCTAATTTAGAAAGTACCTGAGCATTTTTATCTTTGTGAATTTTTACATGAAAATGTAGATCTGTAAACAGTTTATGTAATCCTTGAACGTCTTCATCAGTGCCCTCCCTCATGGCTAACATCACTCGGTTTTTACCATCGATCTTTTGAACTGGTCCATGGAATATTTTATTGTTTATAATCACAGCTCTGCCTCTTGGATTTCTCTTCATTTGATATGCCTAAAGAAAATATTTTATATGATTATTAACTGAAGATTTGAGATACAATCATTGGGTATGAAATAAATTTATTCACTTAAATAATTTGGGTTATTTCCCTTCTTTTAAACCATTTATAACAATCCTTGCTTTCATTTATATATAAGTTTTAGCACTATTTTCTAATTAGCGTTTTCTAACCTTTAAATGATAAAAACAAAACAATTTAAAGTTAATGTAATCTTGTGATAATTTTGACATGTTTTTCAACAAATAGTTACAGAATAAATGAAAACACCTGAAGAAAAAAGATAAATTTATACAAGTCAAATGCATATGTATAAAAAAAGGTAAATTTATCATTCTTTCAAATGTAAATAGATACTCTTTTTAAACTCCATGTCTTTACCCTAAACTCTTATTCGATAGGTATGTACATGTAAAATATATAAAATCCATATGCATGGAAAAAAGAAGTCAATCTTTTATATATCAAATATAAATATGCCCTATTTGTATAACTAAATTAACAATATCAACATCTTCTTCTTTTTTACCTTTTGTAATGTGGTGTATAATTTATATTGCCATAGCAACAAAACAACAATAATATAATAATCAAAAGACAGCTATAAGGCAACATACAGTCTTTAAAAATAAAAAGGTGTCCAAACAATAAAGAATGGTCTTTTTTCTTTTAGCCATGGTGTTTTCTGACTGTCTTTTACTTTCACCTTTATATAGATAAGATAAGATTACATTACTATAAGGTGCGTAGTGATTTTACTACTTTAGAATCTTACCCTTCCAGAGACTGTGTGCTGCATCAGTGAAGGATCATGGGGTTTTATTTTACATTGGGATGCCTCTAAAATACTTCTTTCATCTGGCCATGCTGTAAATATAAACAAAAATGTGTTCATAGTACACGGATGCCCCACTCGCACTATCATTTTCTAAGTTCAGTGGACCGTGAAATTGGGGTCAAAACTCTAATTTGGCATTAAAATTAGAAAGATCATATTATAGGGAACATGTGTACTAAGTTTCAAGTTGATTGGACTTCAACTTCATCAAAACCTACCTTGACCAAAAACATTAACCTGAAGCGGGACAGACGAACGAACAGATGGATGAACGGACGCACAGACCAGAAAAACAAGTTGTCTCATTGGCAATCATACCACATCTCTTTTCAACCTTATTTTGTTTATAAATTATTTTTATGCACCACCTACAATAGCAGGGAGTGCATAAAAATAATTTATAAACAAAATAAGGTCGAAAAGAGATGTGGTATGACTGCCAATGAGACAACTATCCAACAGAGTCCAAACGACATGGATTTAAGCAATTACAGATCACTTCAACAATGAGAAAAACCAAATGTACTTTTGTGGTCTTGAAAATATAAAGGAGTAGGGGCAATAAGCCCCTTATTTGGCCCAAATATTACTGCAAATTTAAAAGTTATACATATTCTTATATTTGTTCAAACTAGACTTAGGTACAAGGTATTCAGAAAATAAAAACAAATTTCACATTGAACGAGTTACCATGGCCACAAACTATGATAAAATTTGCATATTTTGTAAAATTTCTTGATTTTCCTTGTTTTTCATCAAATTTTAAGTAAAGTTTAATTTGGAAAAGTATGTACGCACCCAAGAAACAACTTCATATTTGGTGAGATTACGTCAATAGCTATATCAAAGCTTCTCTTAAATTATTTTGTTGTTTCTTGGCTGCGCACGATGCTTCCACAATGGAAATAACGACAGAAAACTGCATAAATTCTGTATTTTTCATTGTTTTTTGTGAAAACGATACAGATTATGACGTAATTGTGACGTCATCAGATGAAAATCTTTATATTTTTCATTTATATTTCATGACCCTATGCATTTCCAAACATTATGTGCCAATTTGAAATAGTTGTCAAACATTTTATTTTCTTGGGCCAAAACCGTGCCTTAATGCCCCTACTCCTTTGTGGTTTATCTGTCCCCAAGAAATTCACAAAAATTGGTATCTCACGAACAAAAATGAATTCACAGTAGTTTAATTCTGTTTCACATGATAACTTAAAGCATTTTACTACAACAAATGCAAATTTCAGAAATTTTTGTGTGCATTAAGGTGGTACATAACACTACAGGGAGATAACTCTGTAAAAATCAGCTGAACGTTTAAATCACGTTCTAATGTTAAGGAAATATTAAGCTTGTCAATGATCAAAATTAGTGTTTGTCAAACTGCTATACATGTATATCCAATGAAATTTTTCCAATAAAGTGTGTGGTTCCAAGTTTTTTGAAATTTTTATATTTTTGTCAAAGGGTCAAAGTAAATATTTTGTCAAAATTTTATGAAAATAAAACAAGCCAAATTAATATTAGTCAATGTGTTTGGTACCACCTTAATTATTGCAGTTATTGAACAATGGACACAAAGTGTGAGATTAATTACTGTTAATTCAGGAAATGATGCATACTTAAAAATAGTTTTTTTATTTTTTGTACCAATACCATTGCAATTTTCACAATGGAAAAAATATTGCAAAAATTACTGAATTTAGTCACTGATATTAAGAATTATCTCCATTAAACTTACTTTCTGGCAATTGGTTATCTCCCCCTATAGTGGGAAGATTTATCGGCTGTGCAATATATGATCTTTGATAAGTAGCACCAGAAGATCCAGTGATTAATCTATCATAAACATGTTTATTCTTGGTTTGATTCAGTACATCTAGAAAAATTTCGAATGCATCAGGTCCTCTTCGTGGAAGTATATCTAAAAATTTCCTTACTTTTTTCTCCTTTGTGTCTTGGACCTGTATAAAATAAAAGTGAAATAAAACCTAACACAATACTTTCATTCTTTTGTAACAAACATTATCTTTTACTGGGGGCGTTGGTGGCCAAGTGGTCTAGCCGTGTTGTAGTGAAGTGAGAGTTTTCTTTTGATCCGTGCTGAAGGCCTCACTGTGACTTTGAGATGAAGAACAGCTTTTAAAGCACTGTTCCTTTGCTTTTTGTGTGTTTTTTGCTGTACATGTACTGATTTTTGGTGTCATGGATGGATACTCCATATCCTTTGTTTTTCTATTAGGTAGTTCAACTACAGTGATCACTTGCTTGTCAACACTGAGATTGTGAGTTCTAACCCTGCTCATGGTAAGGTACCTTCCACTACGATCTTAATTGTCTAGGGTTGGCATTTTTACAACTGAAAGTAAGTGGTTCTCTCCAGCTTTCTCCACCAATAAACACTGGATCCCATTAAATAGCCAAAGAGATCAATTCTAAGAAAATAATAGTTAAATAAGTCTATTCTCAGTTTTGACTTAATGTTTGTAAATTTCCAATCTAATTAATTTTAAATCTCTGCACTTGCGTATTTTATACCCACAAAGCGAACAAGCATAAAAAAATGAAATGGTGTGGAGATTTAATTTTAATCAGATTGGTAAATTTCATTAATACTTCATTTAAAAGCGACCAAATACATTGAAATTGCAAGTAATAGAATTGGAATTTTCGTTCTTTTTCTTTTCAAAATTGTTATCATCAACTGATAAAATACATATGAGGTCATTCATAACCTTGACCCATTTTTGTCCTAATTTGTAGTTTCTGGAAGATGTCCAACACGAAGCTTAAACACACAGCAAGATCAAAAATACATGTACATCCAACCTATCTTATATTACCCAATTCATGTTGCTATGTTGTTTAAACATGTAATTTATATGGGTGTAAATTGTGTTTACCCATCATCTGAATTTGTTTACAAATGTAAGGAGAAGTGGTATTATGCCAAATTCCTAATTTGATGATGATGGATGACTGCTTAACATCCAGTGGCAAATTAATTTGCATATTCAGGACGAGAACATGTTAATGTACATGTAATATGAATATTTACCCTGCTGTGTACTAGACCGACATGCTGAGCCAGATTTTTAACATGCTAGTTCACAAGGTAACAGTCCGCAGGAAGACTAGTCACCTTACCTGGACATATTATTCTGATTTCGAGCCGACAAGTCTTTGCTCTTACTCCTAAATGCTGTGTGCTTAGCAGAGAAGCAGCCAATACCAATTTTAAGTCTTTGGTTTGATCCGGCCTGGGTTAGAACACGCTACCATGAGACCACCAAAGCAGTTCCTAATTAGACAAAATCAATCAGATATCAATAAAAACATCCAATCATGAGGCTCCAGAATTGGGACAGACATATAAACCTGTCATGACTGTGACAGTGTCAACCTGTTTTTTTTTATAAAACCCAACCCTCCCCTTTCTTAATATCGACCAATGAAGTCATAAAACAAAGATACCTCAACATCTGCTTTCATTCCATCAGTGAACACCTCACGTGTATATAACTCTTCATTTATATCCTCTATATTTTCTATATTCTTCACAAGAAATGAACGACTGGTCTGTAATTTTCTTCTATCCTCGTCATTCATGTTGTAGTGTTGTCATTAATTTACTGTTCTCCTAAAAATGCACAGAAAAACTATCATAAATAATAGACTATTTTCATATTACCAACTTTTGACTCTGGATTATATATTTTTTCGACAGGTAACCTAATCTGTGGTAGGACATCCTGGTACTCAGTCAAGTAAGAGCAACCAAAAGAAGTAAAATCAAAGATATAATCAGTGCAATTTGGGGGGAAAGTTAACTGTTTTCCGATGATTTTGTCATGTATAGAAAACATAAAACAGTAAATTTCCCCCCTAAATTGTACCGATTGGAAGCTTGATTTTACTTCTTTAAGTTGCTCTTACTTGACTGAGTACAAGAATGTCCAACCACAGAGAAGGTAACCTGTCGAAAAAATATAAACTCCGGAATCTAAGCCAGTAATATTAAAAAAGTCTATTGCTTGAATATAAAAATACACCTCTTATTCTAATCACTATCTTTCCATCAAAATAATTGGTATAGGCAACATTAAATCATAGTTTGCGAAACTTCATTTTTTTCTGTCAGACCAAGGATTGACAGGAAGCAAACTTTTGGAGGTCCTTCCAAAAAATTGGTAGTCTTTCATTTTTTGGGGAAATTATTACCTACTTTGTAATATTAGATACTACATTTGTACTAGGTGGAAAACATTAGAAAATGAAATTAAAATACAAAAAGAATAATTTATGAGACATTAAAATACGTACAGTCAAACCTGTATTAAGCAGTCACTCATGGGAAGTATCAAAAGTGACTGCTCAAGAGAGCTGACCTTTAAAAAGAGGTTCCTAAAATTCTAATTCAGACATCCCACATGTCGGGGATCTCAGCAAAATTTTTGAGTGATTACAAATACGATGATATATTGTTTGTGCGAGCAGATAAATAAAAAAATGGCAGATTCCAGCGCTGTGAATTTGTAGAAAACATTCCAAATAGTTAATATTTGTGGAGAAATAAGTCAATGATATGGTTTTTAATTCTAACTGAAATAAATGGAACATGATAAATTCACAAAACCACTTCCTATTGATCGATCTTGGTTCCGATTGTCATTTTGACTTCAATACTGGACACATTTATTTTTCGTCATGATTATGATGGTAGAAAACATTATAATTGTTGTTAAAATTTGAAATGATGATTTTGTGACTGCTGACTGTGTAATACAGGCGACTGCTGGAAAGAGTTGAATTATATAGAGAAAATGTCTGGGAGGGTCTGAAAATGACCGTTAGAGGCAGCTGACGGCTGAAAAGAGGTGATTGCACTTAAGGCAGGTCTGACTATATGGGTTAGGGTTTCCTTTTTTAAATCAATGGGTCTGTAGATAAAAATTTTAATATAATTTTATGAAAAAAATGGAAAATATTGTTTCAATATAAAATAAAATCTTGTATTCAACGAGTATGGTCCTGGTGTTATACTGATGTTCGCCATTTGCAAACGAACAAAATGAAAGTGGGTATGGTCTTTTCTGTCACGAATTTTGATTAGATAAGTTAGTGGTTACAACAAATCATTTGTTGCTGAAAGGTTTTTGAAGAAATCCTCACTAAAACACTATGGTCAGAGCCATACTATGTGGTTGGTCAGAAAATGAACACACAATTGTTCTTGGCCTTATCAATGAGCAAGTCCTTCAATGTTTTGCAGCCATTTTCATGTGCCTCTCACTCACCAACGGTCGACAAACGTAATGTGCCATTCCATCATTGAAATACTTCAACTGGTTCTTAAGTTATGATTTCTGACCAATAACTAACTAAAACAGGAACCGAAAATATGTAACAAATAGACTGTTAATCGTAACACCGTAATTTTTGTCCAAAATTCGTAACAATTACTGAAAAATCGTAATGGTTGTCATCTTTGAAATACATGTAGACCACTTTCGAATTCATGAACTTTTCCGTAAATTTCTTGTCACAATGCTTATATTATTATGTCACAGAAAGAACAGATTGTTTCGATGACATCATTTATGCCTATAGACCTCAGGTCAACTGTTGTAACTCATTCATAAAAAACAACTCAAGATTAGTGTATTGTTTTACATTTGTTATTTTGGGGCCTTTTATAGCAGACTATGCAATATGGGTTTTTTCTCATTGTTAAAGGCCATATGGTGACCTATAGTTGTTAACTTCATTGTCACTTGGTCTCAGCTGGAGAGTTGTCTCATTGGCAATCATACCACATCTTCTTATTTTTATGTAACTGATAATTATATTTATTTCTTGATGCAAACATGCCAAAAAGTTATTTTACTTCTTAAAGCTGATAGTTATTTTTTTTTATTCTTGAAACCAGTGGTTATTCTAAACATTTATAGTTGTAGGTGCATTTATTGATGACCTTGCCTTTAAATCTTTACAGACCTACTAAGTTATTCAGGTGTTTTGTTTTTGTAGGAAGACAGTTAATTTATGATTTACAACTTACAAGGGGTTTTTACTTCTATACGACGTACTAGATGTTTTCAATGATTCAAGTCGACTTTATCTAGTTCTTCCACTCCAAAGGATGAACAAAGACATGTTTTGTTTGTTGTTAATTCAGTATTACATGATTAAACGAAAGCTGATCATGTTTCCCTGACAAACAGAAAGTAAAGATATTTTGTGTACAACGTCATCAAAGTGGAGAAAAAAGCTAAAAGCCAAAACAAATAACGGAATAGCACAAAATTCTTTTTTCCTGGCATTTGACTCCTGAATTAAGAGCACCTCTGAAGCGTTTCAAACAACATGCATATAGATAATCATATTTTGTGTTACAGACTTCGGAAGACTTGAAGGTGCTGGACACAATTCAGGCGAATAATATTGCCAGTTTATGACTCTTTAAATATCCTTTTAGATAAATGTTCTCAATTTAAAGAGAATTATGTGTTTATTTGAGAGGCTCAACTATAATGTAACGGCCCGGTTATATATATGTATTATTTGTGATCTGTCAAAACGTGAGAGTGAAACAACGGCCTACAATTTAAAAAAAAAGGTATAAGCCATCACTTGTAGATTTTATTCAGATTACTTTGTATTTACAAATAGAACAAAACTTTGTTTCAAAACACATAATTATAATAAATGCCCAATGAATATAAAACGTCAGGCATATATAAACCTTGTAAGACCAACACTATAATACGCTAGCAGTGTCTTGGATCCACATCTCCAAAAACACATACAACTCAGTGGAAATGGTCCAAAGGATAGCAGCCAGAGTCATCAGGCATGAGTATTCTCGAGACCCAGGCATAGAAACATCTTTATTGGAGGACCTAAAGTACAGGAGAGACGAAAAACATCACTTAGGTCTACTCCTTTTTTACAAAGTAATCCACCAACTAATTGCAATCCCAATTCCAGAATACTTGATGACACCACCAAGAATGACCCGTCAGTTTCATCAAAGACGATTTGTCAGATTAGGATCAAGTTCTTAACAACGAAAACATAGCTTCTTCGTAAGAACCATAACAAACTGGAATGAACTACCGCCTAGCTTATTGGACATTGATGATTATGAGGCGTTCAAGACCCACCTCATAGCACACAGATAACCGTAAATCAACACACAAATGTTTTTATCTGCACTGGCACCTGTATATATACTAAACACCTGTACATTAGAATTATAAAAGAACACATTTTGGATGACACCACAACTTTAAATCAACATATTCGTGTGACAATGTGTAATGAGTCAACCGACTCTTTACGGATTACCCATGTAGATGTAAATGTAGATATAGAAGTTAAAAAAATTCTTGATGTTGAAAATCATATTGAGGATGTTGATAATATTAATTTTGACATGATTCGGATGAATGTTTAGCCCGGATGATATAAACTTAGTATATAATGACATTGAAACTAAATTAAGTCATTGAGGTGAAAACTTATTTGTCATGCATCCATGTACCACATATGAATAGAGAACTTCGAACAGCTATTGTTCCCAAACAACTGTTCACGTCTAGATTTGAAAAATACAAAACAAACAAAATTTGGGAAGCATATAGAACACCAAACAAATGGTTACAAAAATAAGAATAAAATCGGTTACAGTTAAGTGTTTAGTGGGGTTTACAGAATAGAGTAAAATGGGCACAAAGTGCAGAATAAAGGGCAAACATAAAATAAAGAAGAGCGAAAAATAGGGAAAAACATATAGAATATAGAATAATTGGGGAGCTAAAATATAAAGAATAGAGAAAAATGGTATAAACATTAAAGAATTTAGAATAAAGGACCCCCCCCCCCCCCCCCAAAAAAAAAAAAAAAAAAAAAAAATCCAGACCCTCGACTATGAGTACATTTATATTTCGTTCTGTACAAACAATTCTTATTTAGTCATGTAGAGAAAATTATCGGTTAAGTGTAGATATAACTTACAGCTACTTATTTCCTATTTTTACATTAACATGCTTACGCTTGATAAAAGTTGTAAAAGTTATTAAATTGTTATGAGACACTTCTTCCTTATTACAGTCGATCCTTGATACAAGATGAAAATATGAGAGGTGAAATATACGAGAAGTGGTGTTTTTTTTAAATCTAAAAGAAAAGGTTGACGAATATTTTAGAGTCAAATTATTACTTGTTTGACGTATTTATGCCGTATATATTTTTCAGAGATTTCTTGACATCCCGCATTATAAATTTACTTTAATACACGTTATCTATATATTTGAGTCACTAAAATGTTATATCAAAGATAGCTCAGTGATTTCTAATTTGAATAAAACAAAAATGTAGAGATACATGTACCAAAAGGCGATCAAAAATCCTAAGCAACAAAAACAAACACCATTCCATAAAAGAATTGAAAGAAAAGTTTGAACTACTCCAGCACACCTATAAACAATTTTTACTACTACTGGATCGATGTCACTGCTAGTGGACGTTTCGTTCCGGGGGGTCATGATCACCAGCTCAGTTGTCAGTACTTTTGTGTTGACATGAAACATTATTGATATGCTTATTTTCTGTAAATTTACTTTTTATAAAATGTTGATCTATTTCTATCCCAGGCATATATTGCTTTAGCCGCATTTTAGCACAAGTTTTCGGAATGTTGGTTTTAAAATACGTATTTTAATTGGAATTAAACTGTTTTGATTTGAGCGACACTGATGTGTCTTATGTAGACGAAAACTCGCGTGTTGCGTCCAAATTATAACCCTGGTATCTTTAATAGTTTAAAATAAAAAAATAGTAGATAATATTAGGATATTCTCATATGTCATTCTCAAAACGTTTTGGCCCTGCGCCCCTCTTGCAATTAAAGTTCATTGACGTAAATTACACTGACTTAGTTACATTCTAAATTAAATCTAAGCTTTCTTTTAAAACTTATCATTCATCATAGTCCTGCTTGCATCATTGGTTAGTTAATTAACCTTTAAACAGCTATTATTGCCTATTTGTTTATAAATCTGTAAAATTAGTAATAGCATATTCAAAAGAGATGACTGAATATCTAAAATAAACAGCCAATATCACATAGACATAAAATACTAAATAATCAATATCAATAAGGAGATACATAAAGAACGAAAGATACTGAGTTTCAAAAAAAATAATGTGTTTATGTCATCGTTGAAGAAAGCAACGAATTTCACCATTTTATATCTTGCACATGGTCCCCCTTTTTTTCCCTGTGTAACTTGAAAATGCACTGACAAAAGAATGCTTCATCAACCTTGGAAGAAACATTTAATGTTTAACTTTTTTTGTAAAAAAAATCTATGCACAAATAAGTTAACGATTCAGAACACTGCATTTCGTATCAACTTTAAGAGTTAATTATTTGAAAGCCAAATAAGTTCAGGAATATTTTATAGTACATGTTGTGTATAAACTGGAATAAAAAATTAACTCGTTTTGTTTTAAAGTTATGGTATTTGTCTTAACTACAAGATTAATCATATACACAAGCAACAACAGTTCCGACAATTCTTCTTATTAACTGGACGAAGGTTCATGGTGAACTTACACTTTCTGCTATAAAGACTAAAGACGGTCTATAACAATTCAGACAGTTGACTGCATCAGACTCGGACGTATAATGCTGTTTGAAACATACCTAGCTGATATTTTAATAGTTTTGGTAAAGTCTTGCATCAGGTAGCTTCCATGGAAAAACACCTTTGAATGGCCTTCAAAATTTGGATAAAGGTATCGATATTATTACACTAATTGATAAAAAATCATTAATTAATTTCATCATTAATATCAGGATTCATAGACGAAATTTGGTGCTGCCCTGGTTGATTAAATGGTAAGTGGTAATTTAAATAAAAGTATTGTTTACGGTGATATTATTTATAACACTCACAAGGTCATGACATTGGCTTTTTGTCTTCAGTGTTTGCTTCATATTCTTATTGACGAAGATAATTAGATAAGGATTTTAAATAGTTTACGTCTGTAATTATAATTTTTGGACATACATTTCTTTTCATCCTTTGTGTTTGCTTCATATTCTTATTTTGTACACAGTGTAGTTTGTAATAGTATTGAACTTTTCTTTTTATATATCTGTACATATTTACTCATCGCTTTTCTATCGCTGCTGTATACATTAAATCTGACAAAGAGGCATCAATACAGGGGCGGATCAAGCCATTTTTTGAAATGGGGGGTTCACACCCAGGATAAAGGGGGTTCCAACCATATGTCTCCATTGAAAAGCATTGATCGTCACAAAAGGGGATGTTCCATTCCCCAGAAACCCCCCCCCCCCCCCTCCCCCTGGATCCGCCACTGCAATATGATAGCGTAGATTTAAAATTACTAGGTTTATATCTTTGTTCTTTCTTCAACAACTGCTTGCATTATTTGACTTGGTGGTGTTTGTTCTTTTTGCACTTGGCATAGTGTTTTTATGTCTATTGTACATGTACTAGAGTGTTAAAGGCTTTTGATGTACTGGTGTTTGCTTGGTGTTTTCTGTGTTATTACTTTCGATTTTTATATTTTCGTGGATTCCAATACTCGTGGAGTAAAGAAAACAAATTCTAGAGAATATATGATTTCGTGGGTTTTTACCTATACATTGTCAAGCACATTTAAATCTTGCATAAAGTTTAACGCTTATTCGTGACGCACATTTCCTAGCAAAAGCTTTTAAGAACAAGCATTATAACTACACTTTTACTTCGATAGAAAAACAAAGAATATGGGGTATCCATCCCTGACACAAAATCATTTCATGCACAGACAACAAGCAAAGGAACAGTGCTTTTATTGCTGATTTTCATCTCAAAGTATCTTGAGGCCTTCAACACGGAGCAAAAAAAAAACTTTCACCTCACTGCAAGTTAAAGACGGTCCCTTGCACCGACTTGAGCGGAACTCTTTGAAAAATGATTCGGATAAACTTTGTAAGATGTATCACATTAAATCGGGCTCGGTCAAAAAGAACACACTGGAAAGTAGTACATTTTTTAAAACAAAATAGTTCCTACGCATAGGTGTAAATATAAAACTATGTAGAATATATTTTAGTTACTAAGGTATCAAATGAAAGGTGAAGGACTGGTGATCCTTAAGAACACTTTTGACTGATTTTGAATAATACAAAAATGTATCGATGAATTTTAAAATTGAGGGCATATATTTCCTGTTTCTCAGATATGAAGTGCCTGAGTTGGTGTATCCAAAGTTCCGGTAACCAATACGGTCTGATGTATAAATAACGGTATATTGATCTACCCCCTCCCTAAAATATTTGGAAGTAAAAAGTTTACTGTGGATAGGAATGAGGGCAAAGAATAGGTGGTGTGCGTCTTATTAAAATTTTAGAACACAAACTGGTCTAGAATTGAAAGAATGATGTGGCACACATAAGAGAAGTTATCTCAAGAATAAGTACACAGTAACATTAAAAATAGTGGCCAATTTGTTATTAAAAATTACACATTTCAAAATGAAATAGTTCGTTCATCCCTTACAGTATCTGAGAGATCGAAATTGTGAAATAGTGTTAATATGGTCACCTTAATATGCATTACGTTTAAAAAAAAAATAGTTCAACTGCCACATATACATACATTTAATCTCAAAATTCTCCGATTACAAGTATATGAAGTATTCATTCAAGTGTTTCAATGATATGATCCCCTTAAATTATGCACATCGTGTGTAATAATCTTCATTAAATTTAAGTAAACTATATTTTTTACAAATCAAGAGGATGAGGAAGAGTCTTGTTAGTAAAACGTTTGGAGAAACTTATATCGTCCGTGTTAAGTAGGATGCGATATCCTAATCCAACATGTTGTATGCAACATATTGATTATTGCCGTGGTAGGACAATATTATTTCATTTTCGTTCATCATGCGGCCAATATAATTTTTGTCTGTGCTATTTTCATCTGAAAAGTGTTCATAAAGATTGTTTCAAAGAATACATTTTTTTTAATTTTTTTTATAGAATTTACAATTTTAGAAGACGTGTGAAATTTGATGAAATAGAAATGTGGTTAGTAGTGATATTCTCTTTCCTGTCATACACCTGCAATGGAAGTTTGGTTGATCACAGTACACAAAGCTCTGTGATTGCTGAACTTAAGGGGACAGACATCACAGATATCATAATGGAAGTTGACGTTTTGAAAGGAAATTACCATTCTCTACTTCTTAGAGTTATTAATAACGAACATGAAATCGCCTTCCTGAAAGGTCAAACACAACAGTTAGAACATGAACTTGAAACTACTAGGCGGACATTTTCATGTGAACTTCAAGGTTTACTTGATACCACTATACAGTACGAACATAAACTTAACGAAACAATTCATTCTTTGGCTACATTTAATCAAACAATACAAGATCTAAGTCAGAGCGTCAGTGTGCTAGATAACAAATACTCACTTCTGGAGATACCGGGAAGGCACAGCAATGAGTCAGGTGTGTATATTTATTTTCTTGTGGGAAATAGCAATGAGTCAGGTGTGTATATTTATTTTCTTGTGGGAAATAGCAATCAGTCAGGTGTGTATATTTATTTTCTTGTGGGAAATAGCAATCAGTCAGGTGTGTATATTTATTTTCTTGTGGGAAATAGCAATAAGTCAGGTATGTATATTTATTTTTTCTTGTGGGAAATACCAATTAGTCAGGTGTGTATATTTATTTTCTTGTGGGAAATAGCAATGAGTCAGGTGTGTATGTTTATTTTCTTGTGGGAAATAGCAATAAGTCAGGTGTGTATATCTATTTTCTTGTGGGAAATAGCAATGAGTCAGGTGTGTATATTTATTTCCTTGTGGGAAATAGCAATAAGTCAGGTGTGTATATCTATTTTCTTGTGGGAAATAGCAATGAGTCAGGTGTGTATATTTGTTTTCTTGTGGGAAAATAACAATGAGTTAGGTGTGTATATTTATTTTCTTGTGGGAAATAGCAATGAGTCAGGTGTCTATATTTAAAATCTTGTGGGAAAGTAAATGATCTACTGTTAAGCTACTTAATATTTGTACACACATTAATCTAATGAATAAGAGCTAAATTTGTATGCCAAATGAGATATAAAGATTTTTCATATTTCTATATGAATAAGAATTAATAACTAGCCAGTTATAATAACCGACATTACAGCAAATCATGAAATTACAACTGCGTTCGAAAGGAATTTTGCAAGCAACTATCGATTAAATAATCAAATAACTTCCTATTTTTTTGTATTTAGAACATAAAACGCAATTATACATGTATCAGCGTGTGTCTTCTGCTTGTTCTGCATATGTTATCAAATTTTATAATATCCTGGAATCCTTACTCACTGCTCAAAAGATTTGCTAAGATGTGATTAATAACAAATGCTGGTGTAAAATGTATTCAATAGAAACTATCAATACAAAAAATGACGATATTAATTTTGATTGTAAAATTTTATTAATTTGTTTTTAATTTAAATCAGCGTATAAGTGATGGTCCTTTCTTTTTGCAATTTCATAATGTTAACATACGCATGTTTCGTCGAGTTTGACAATTGAGCAAGTAAAGTCATAAAAGAACCCGGGCTTTAAAAAATACTGTTACCAGAATACCACCTGACATATTTCACAAAAGTAAATGTCTCGGGACTAAGACATGAAATGACATTGAAATTTTAAGTAACATGTGTAGTTTTATCGATTTTTAAACCAAATCTGAAAATGCGTTGTCCCTTCTATAGTCAATATATTTCATTCAAGGAAACAAATGAAAATATATACCAAAACAGCAGTTATTTGCGATGTCATACAATGTCAGAAATTTTCCATCTTTGAAATCGAGAATACATTAATCTGGTATACTTTTAGTATTTGCCATGGTTTTTTTTTCTGGATAATTTAATAATGGTTTTTATAACATAAGTTTTACTGTTATCGATGTTATAATACTTTGAAAGTGAGGAAAACCGTGAAAAAAATTATTTCCAATAAATGACATTACTCGACATAACCAACCTATGTGACCGTATCTCGGCCTATTGCATTGAAGGATGACGGAGGGGAGCATAGACTGCATGAATTTTTGGCTCGTTGAATACACACTTTGTTGGAATAAATGCTATTTAAAAATTAGCACAAACAGCTTTTTTAATTCTTTACATATTTTGTTATTAAATTTGGGATGATTTCATTGACAACAACCTTTCAAGGGAATAACTAATTCAGTTACCGGTAATCAAATGCACCGATCATTACTTTGTCATTTCACTTGACCCATATATTTATCTCTCAAACGATGAATTCTTAAAGCTACTAAATCAAAATTATGTTTGAAAAAATAAAAATAATGGAATCGGAAGCGAGATCATATTCTCATTTTTGATTTAAAATTTATAAGATTAAAACAAGAGTTTCAAACACGCCGGGCTGTAAAAGGTGTACACGACTTGCTTCTTCTTCTTCTTTTTTTTTTAGCATACTTCTATAATTTATTTCAAGATACTTTTGTCAAAGGTAGAAATTCAGATCACTGATGCATCTTTCTGATAGTACTTTGTCATCTTTCCGTAGAATTTTATCAAATGGGATTTATGAGGACGCATCTTCGAGAAAAAATATGATTACACTTTACTGAATCAGTTAATGTTTATATATCTTGTCTTTAATTATAATGATAAAATAAAATTGAGATTGGAAATGGGGAATATGTCAAAGAGACAACAACCCGATCAAAGAGCAGGCAAGAGCCGAAGGCCACCAATGGGTCTTGAACGCAGCGAGAAAATCCCGCACTCGGAGGTGGTCCTCAGCTGGCCCCTAAATAAAATTGTGTACTATTCAGTGAAAAGGCATGGATTTTAGGAAAAGCCCGTACAAACGTATGCGTTATTTAACGTAATTGCTCTTAAATTGTTTTTCTAAAATGTTTTGCGTTTAACTTATACAAATACGTATGAAAAACAGACATGTACGGAATATTTGATTGAAGTTTTGTTAAGTAGGATGATCCTTTGAGTTTTATGACCAACTTATTATAGCAAGGGAATATTATATTTATTGATCTGTGCATTTGTCCGTTCTTCCGTTCTGTTAAAAATATAAAACGTTTAAAATTATACACCAAATTAGAGTTTGACCCTGATTAAGTGGTGCATTGAACATGGAAAAATGTTCATGTGAAGGGGCACGGTGTCTTAAGGCCACACAGTCTTGTTTCAAATGTTTTGATTAATACAAGTACATCAATCTAATTAAAATATAGAACTCGGATTTCGTTATACTGCATACGAGATCTAACGATGACCCTAATCTCGTTCACTTTTGTGACCTTTTTTTACGTAATATTTGACCCCAGAAAGAATTTATATCGACCAATCAGAATGCTCCTTATGAACGCGACCTAGGAATATGTTGAAGATTGCGACACAGAAATGGTAAAAGAACTTAGAAAATGCATTAACTGAAATTTTGCCTTAGTACAAAGTGAAAGAATTGAAATTTGAGAAGGGACAAATTTTGGAAACTATTTTGGAGATCAAAGATTGCAGTATAACGAAATCCGAGTTCTATATTTTAATTAGATTGACAAGTGCATGTATATGTATCTTCCATAATCATAACTGTCTCTTTGGTCTTGTGGTATTGCGCTCGCCTCGACAGTAATCCCTCAAGGGTGATCGGGGAATAGAAAAATGGTCATTATTGGTCTTGTTCCGATTCGCAGTTAAACCATTACAAAAGTGGGTAGTCCGTTAGGCTGTGCGGGATGTACAAGTATGCAGTCCAGTCCGGTCAGAATGGGGACGTTAAATCCGATGCCTCTTGTAGAGAGAATGCCACGCTCTCAACACGTTAGTTATACATTAAAATATTTGCAACTGTACGTTAAGCAACCAACTATCAATCAATCGACAGTAGCGTAACTTGAATTTTATTTCTGGCGAGGCAAATGATTTGAATCTTGGCAGTCAAAGCCTCATCTTGGTTTAAAGACCAAAAGGGAGTGAACGGTTTATTGAAAATATGAATTGAAAAATAGGTGTAGGTGATCATACTGTTGATAGTCACACACACTAGCAAAAAGATCATGTCTATGAAAAATCCAGATTTGTTGAATTTTATCATGAAATAATATTTCTAGTGCGCATTAAGGTGGTACCCAACACCTTGACTAATATTAATTTGGCTCGTTTAATTTTCCTAAAATTTTGACAAAATGTTTACTTTGACCCTTTGACAAAAATATAAAAATTTCAAATAATTTGAACCAACCACTTTATCAGAAAAATTTCACTGGTTATATAGCAGTTTGACAAACACTAATTTTGATCACTGAGAAGCTTAATATTTCCTTAACAATACAACGTGATTAAAACGTTTAATTGATTTTTACAGAGTTATCTCCCTGTAGTGTTAGGTACCACCTTAAATCAATATATTTCAATGAAACTGCTGTTTGAAGGTTTAAGTATCAGTATTCAGTTACAGACAGGTCCTGATCAAAACAAAAATAATTGACAAAAATTATATGTTTGACCTCCTCTAAAATGCTTTTGAAAGATTTGGGAATATTGAATTTAAGATCCACTATGTCTTAACTTAATACGCTTAGCTTTTGTCAAAATGTATGGATGATAATAACTGGGTGAACTATGAAGTCTTGCTTATATTAACCAAGGTAGAAGAGTACTACATAGAATGTAGGAATGCCATGTGTCTACCAAAAGTTCGTTGTCAAAAAAGAAAAAAAAAAAAAAACACATTATATCAGTTTCACATTTATGACCTCTTGTTTGAATCAGTTTTTTGCGAGGTATACTTTGTTACTTAAAAATGATATTTGCCAATTCCTTGTTTATTTTATTAAAGAAAGTTTTCAAGACGTTAATAATGAGAAATGAGTGAGTAAAGAGTAAAACAGTCAGCGTTTTGAACTGTCGTCACTCAGTATAATTTATACTATGAGATACACGGTATATAATTATTTATCTCGCTTTTTTAAAGGTTATTAATTTACGTCAATGAATGCTACACCACTGCTCGAGTGCGGGACGTCTCTGGCTCGATCCTCGCTCGTTTCAAATCGAAGATTAGCTGCCTTTCTGCCAAGCACGCAATATCTAGGAGCTAGAGCAAAGATTGGTCGGTCCGGAGTCAAAATAATGTGTCCGATAGGATCACATGTCTTCCTGCGGTAAAACATAAAGTCTGGTTCATACTCATCTACTCGTCCTAAATATTCATATGTAAAATACATGCAGCGAACACTTATATTTATGGCCCTACATCCTGTTAATACTTATATTTTATTTTCTACTTCTAATGTGCCTATATCCCCTCGATTTTCAAAATCCTAGATCCGCATCTGGCAACACCATCTTATTATATCATGTTGTTCAATGTTACTTACCTTACACATTTCCGTTAATGATTTATCCGGTAAAATGAATTTGGTGACCCCCTTTTAACTGTTAATCAATAAAATGGATAAATACTATAAGTTATTTTACTTCAAGGGATATACAAAAAAACATTGCCTGGATATGTCTTTTGTATTTGGACTATAAACGATAGCATTCCCGTTAAACAAAACAATACAGAACAATCCCTAATCAAACACACCTTCTAAAAAACAACCTTTATCGGGATTTTTTATATCAATACATTTTATTATAAATGAAAAATATTTTTTTGTTCAGAAATTAAATGGAAGCGATAGTTTTATCACAAATTTCAACTTTTATAAAGAGACAGATTCTGACAAACTATGGTTTTGATATTTCTGAAGTTGTCAGAAAAATGTCTTTCTAAATAATTTCCCGCAACAAATATAATAAAAAGATAGATAAAGAAAGACAGAAAAAAAGTATAATGGGGCGTTCATCTGCAAAGTATATTGAAAAATAATTTTCATAATCAAAACCATGTAAGATAACTCAAATTGTACGTATGATAGGTATGGGATACGTGTGATTATACTTGATCTTATTACAGTGAAAAGAAAGGCGGGAATCTGGAAAACCACGTAAAAATATAAATTATATTTTTTATGGACGAAAATTCCAGTGTGTGATTTAAGAAGTCTTGGAATACTTTGTTTAAACTTGAGCGATGTATTTAATCAAATTCAATTGTTGGCAATAACCAGTCCCATTAGGTCCGTACGTCGAGTTACGTACGCATGTCATTTTGTTGGAAATCTCTATTAACACGAACGATACGTAACCAATTGTGCTGCATCAGATTCGCTTTTTTACAACTGATGATATTCCAGTGATGCTCATGGCCAAAGCATTCAAAACTATGTACAAATAATGCAGAGATGATAAAAGGAAAAAAAGGACCTAGGAATAGCAAAACTCTGGTCAAGGAATAAAAGTACATGGTAGTCATCTTTCTTTAAGATAAGTCAAGGTACATCAATATCAAAGCATTGATTACCGGTTGGATGGTTTCCTGGAAATATTATAAAGCTGTGCCGTCCATGATAGAGCATGAAGGATATCAATGGTTAAGAAGCATTTTCCGGCAAAGTTTCCATTAAGAAAGCGTCGAGAACTAAAAGTGTTGGTAACAAAATACTGAAAATGTTTGTGAGCATGAAAGCTAAATGTCTCCAAACAATGCTGTATCAATTACGTGACGAGACCTATGGTATTTGGTGCGTCTGGTATTTGCATGCATGATGTACATAATACAATTACGGAATACTCACAAATCTGAATTTATTTCATGTTTTTATTCAAAATACAATCTAAAGGTTGACAAATATATCTACCAAAATTACCAAAATAATATATTTCTGATGAACCAGCTCTCTAGCAAATTTCATTCAACAGTCTAACTGCCTAGAACTCGTAAATCAGAGTTATTTTTTAATTTCATTATCTATTGACGTGTTTATTCGAGATTTAACGCAAAATACAAAAAAAAAAAAACGCGTATATACATGAAATTCAATTTAAGCAAAGACTGGTCTATTGATTTAATATTAAATTTAAACACAAAATATACTAACCATACATTTTTCTAATTAAACAATTTGTTTTTTTTTTTGTGTTTTTCATTATACATACAGGTGATGAACAAGAATGCCCTTTGGATTGGATAAGACGTGTCGACTTTGGTGCATGTTATTTCTTTAGTAATGAAAGTATGTCTTGGAACGATTCACAGGTGATTATGGAAGAGCTCATGTTCAGTATTTTCATCATATGTCATTAGAGCTTTAAATCTATTAGTAGCAGACCTGATGTCTGTCCATTCTTATGTTACAAATCATGATGGTGAAGGTCAATTTGTATATTTAACTCTACACACTATAAATTGACCTTCCAAAATGTATCTATATTCGCTCATATTTAGAATACCATGTGTAGCTGAAAAAATATTGTTTTGATAAATCGTTCCCACCACTAGAATGAGCAGCCAATAACGTTGAGATCTGTCACGGTTATAGTTATTGTTATACACCGTAAATGTTATAGACTCTAGTTTAATGATAACCAAAAGAAAGAAAAAATTAAATTTGAGTGTACAATTTATTCCGTGGATTGTGAGAACATCATGAAGTTATATGACTATATTCTGTTAATTTTTCACAGCATCCAAAACTCTATCTTTGACGTCACAATCAGAAGCAGTTTTCGATACTTTGCATGCGAATGTCGTATTCCTTTTGTTCTTCTTATAAAATTGGTCATGTCTAGGTCCGCTTATTTTTTTTTATTTTTTTGAAGATAACATACTTTTCAAAAGTCGAGTATGAAGAAAATAATAACACTGTTAAAGGCACAAGTTTTTGGGAAAGTCTTTACTCCAAACTTATAAGTGCACCAGACTCACTTTTCATCTAAATGAGACTTATCAGTGTTGGTCAAATCAAAACAGTTGAAAGGTCAAATCAATAAAAAAAATTAGAAAGCATTTACTATGAGACTTTCAAAACACGAGGGGGAATAACTAAGCTCAATGATATTTTACGTCAGCAAGATGCACCCAAATAAAGTCTCAAAATTTAAATAATCAATGTTTTGAAGAGGCAATGCAGAAAACATAACGGATCCCTTACAGATATCTATTCTGAAAATGAAGCCGTGTGGCTGGCTGAATACAGTCGTAATCATACAGGTTTGTATTTATAAAGCACTCTTTATCCAATATACATCAAGAAAGAAATATTCAACTTATCTTTAAATTACGAAATTTCATGCAATCTTGTAGTATATTAACGACCTACCAATCAATTAATTGTCTATCTACTTTAATAATTACACACACACATATTTGTAACAAAATCGATGCCAGTTAAGCGATCATTACGTCAGGACTACGTTTAGAAATTTTCTAAAGAAATTTAAAAATGTGATTTGCGTTCTACTAGTCAAATGTTAGTCACGACATTTCAAATCAAATGTCATGAACTGAATATGTAAATATTAGCACGGACGGAGATACAACATGTAAATAAAACATGCCACTCTATTAATTTAAGAAAGGGTGGCAACATTGATTAAGTCATTGCAAGTTCTCTGGTATGCCACGTTAGACAATATATGATTCTAAGAGTTTAACATGAAACAAAAACCATATTTCTTACATATTTACATGTTGTATAACAAATGATGTCGGCGATCAAAAAGCCATGTTTCTGGATTAGAAATTAAAGTAGTGCATACAGAGTCGACAGGGTATATAAGCGTTTACTGCTATCCACATATCTCGCCATTCGAATCCACATTCAAATTGACATAGTTAATAAATTTTAAATCAAAAGATTTCGTTAGATTTTGTACATAATCATAAACGTGGGTAGGACACACTCAAAGACCGCGAAAAACATTTTGCACGTGAGTTGAGACACGGACACAATCGCATTGATTAACCATGGCGATGGGGGCGTGCCCGGGTAGTCTTAATTATTCATCCACAGTGGCCATTAGCCTGTCGTTGGTGAGGTTGCAAGTTCGAGCTCCACTAGCGGAAAGGTGCGTTCGAAACCAATGTTAATTGATTAGGATATCAAGTTGTTCTGCCAATGGCTGCTAGTTCTCTCCATGTACTCCTGCTTCCCACCAATCAAAACTGGCCGCCATGATATAACAAAGATTTTTGAAAGTGGCACCAACAATAAATTGATCTATTGTGATGGTGACCATGAAGCGTATGTAATATCGACCTCAGTTGTGCCTCCTGATAGCTCAGTTGGAGCATTGTATGTGTCAGCACCACAATCCTGTTAATGATATTCTTATACTGCGAATATGCACGATCGTGTTGAATCAATTGAGAAAGCTTTGTTAGTGTGATGCCATTGGCAGATGATATGGTACTGTTTAGAATAGGGAAGTTGCTGATTTGAGAGTTGAATACACACGTATGGCAAAAGTTCCAGTTTTAATTTGTTAATATCAAGGAATCGATGGAGATATGGAGTGTATCTCCTAGTTTTTGTTGTATCCTTAGTTAAAGTTCTCTATGCAATATTTAATGCAAGTTATCACTGATAAGTGTTTTATTGAGTGATAAGACATCATCAACATATCTGAAAGTGAAATAAAAAAAAAATTGGCATGACTCTTGGTTTCATATGAGAATAAAAATGTAATGGTCAATTGTTGAATACAATAAATATCCATTTATACACTGACTGTTTGTTGAAATATCAATCAACCTTACTCAACAAGATGTTTTCGATCAAAGGGTCCGGTATTTTGATATTATCTTCTGTAAATTTGTTGCTTGAATTAGTACGTTTCTTCACAAAATAACTTTAAACAAGGATTTTTTTTATTCCAATTTAAAAACAAAGTTCTGTTTAATGAGGCAATGTAGACGATCTATAAATTGTGCACTGGGAACACTATATATATATATATAGTGTCTAAAAATAGCAACAATCAACATTCAATCGATCTAGGCGTGGATCAGTTTGTAAATAAACTGATGCAGTTACTACATTCTTCTTCTTCTTCCATATACTGCCCACATTCAACTTTCTGAATATACTGGCAAATTGGTTCTGCATGGTTAAAAACAGGATAAAAAAAAATGTTCATCTTATTTTGTAAGGTTGGTCATTTGAGATTTGAATGTCTCAAATGACTGTGCTGTGGCGATCTCCGGGGGAAGCTTGTTCCAGTCTTTGGTGGTGTTCACAAAGAAGGACCATTTCCTGCAGTCTTTGGTTGCTGTTTGTACCATGTATCCATGCTGTTGTGTATGTCTGGATACTCTGGTTGGTCTTTGGAGGTACATGTCTTTGTTGATGGCTACTTTGTCGTTGACGATCTTGTACATCATTGTGAGCCTGGCCTCTCTGCGTCGTTCTTGGAGACTTTTCCAACCCAATTCATTGATCATGTCCGTGATACTTGATCTGTTTCTGTGGCGCTTGGTGACGTATCGCGCAGCCCTCCTTTGAACTTTTTCAATTTGGTCAATATGTTTCTGATGATATGGGTCCCATACTGTTGTGGCATATTCTAGTTGGGGCCTTACTAGAGTTTTGTAAGCTTGCTCTTTGATGTTTTTAGAGCCGATGTGTAGATTTCTGTGGAGGAAACCAAGGCTTCTGCTGGCTTTGCTGGTAATGTTGTTGATGTGTTCTCCCCAGTCTAGTTTGTTTGTGATGGTGCAGCCCAGGTACTTAATTGATGTTTCATGTTTTAGTACATGATCATGTAATACATAGTCCCATTTGATTTATTGATGTTCTATAAAAAATATATGTTTGTAAATTGTCTTGAAAAATATTTTTGCCGCTTATTGTACATAGCAATTCTTAAATCAAAACAAATAGTTGTTTTAGTTAAATAGAATAAAGTTCAGGATTTATTCCTTTGGTTTTGGGTAGAACTGTTTTTCATCTCTCTCATTAAGTCCATCAGGTTCAAGAGTACGTAGCTGATGCATCCAGAACCTTTCTCTCTGTTTTCTCCTTTGGGAGTCCCAATTTTGGTTTACCTCAATTATTTGAAAGGTGATATTTTCAAAAGTATGCCCTGTTCTTAAGAGGTGTCTCGTAATTGGACAGTTTCTTCCTTTTGTATAAAAAGACCGGTGATTGTTAAGTCTGATGTTGAATTTCGTTTCTGTTTCACCAACATACTGCAGCTTGCAAGTTCCACAAGTAAGAATATAAATACTTTTTTCCGTTTTGCAATTAGATGTAACATAGATGTTGTATCGCTGCTTTGTTACTGTGCTGCTGAAAGAGTGGTCAGTGTTGGCGACTTTACAGCACTTACAATTGGTTCTTCCGCATTGTTTGTAACACCCAATTATAGAAGTCTCTTGTTTCTTTACTTTAGATGTGACAAGTATGCCTTTGAGATTTTTGGGTCTGCGATAGGCAATAACAGGAGGTGATGGGAAAATTTCTTTTAAGGAAGAGTCATTTTCGATAAGACGCCAGTGCTTGCGATTGTCGTCACTACAATATCGTCCTCCTTTTCCGCGAATTTGACCTACTGAATTAGACTTAACACAACGGGTGTAACATGTGGTTCCAGCTCTGCTTACCCTTCTGGAGCACATGAGGTTACACGCCGTTTTTTGGTGGGTTCGTATTGCGCAGATTTCTATGTTGTGTTTTGTGTACTGTTGTTTGTCTTTTGGTCTTTATTTTTTTTGTCATGGTGCCATATTTTCGACTTCTTAGTTGTGTTAGAATGTCCCTTTGGTTTCTTTTGCCTTTCTTTAACTGTAGAACGAATGATCGTTAGAACATGTAGAACTTTAGAAAGATGACTTACATATCGACGACTCCTGTTTTAGGTTTAATAAGCTTTTGAGGTTAAGACAATTAGCTTACTGTAGGTCTTCTGTCAAAATCCGTACAAAAAATGTAAATTATGAAATTATTGTTTAAAGTGCCTTGCTCTTTTTTGTTGCAGCAACAATTTTCTGGATCGGTGGGAAAACTGACCATGGAGTATTTAAATGGTTTACTTCCGATGGAGAAACCAAACATATGAATTACACACGTTGGGGAATAGGAGGTTCATGGTCAAAATCTCAAACTAATCGTTGTGCCTTCCTAATAGAGTATCTTCAGTATGAATGGTATGCATACGATTGTGATTTAAATTATCATTTTATCTGCAAAACTATCGAAAACAACATATGATTAATAAGGATAGGAGGAGTAACAAACGGCATGGCACAGAAAAAAGGAAGTAAAAAAGCATTAAATGTATACCAAAACTTCTGTGAATTTTGTAATTATGTCTTTTTTGTGATAACCCAATTTTTCCATGCATAAATTTGAGTCATGGTGTATATATCTCTCGGTTGCTACAATATTTCAGGGATTGCCTTCATTATCATTATTCGTTGAAAAAGGGTAACTGCTTCAAGGAAATTATTACATCAAGGGTTCCACGTGAAAAATCGAAGTCATCCCTTCGGAAGTGTTATGCCACCATGCTTTGATTGTCCGTTATGAAATATTTGTGTCACAGATAACCCTAGATATGTACCACTTATCTTATTTACCATCCGATCCTTTTTCATCGATTCTGAATTAACCAAAAGTGACTTATCACTTTATTTTTTACTTGTTTTAGAACACAAAACGGGAGCCATATATGGATCAGACATTGTGTATCCTTCAGGAGCACGTGAGATTTACACACGGTTTTGGTGGGGCTCGTACTGCACAACATGTCCCCACACGGGACAATAATATTAAAGCTATAATAATGGGAGAGAAAAGGACAATCGGATTTTTTGCTACCAACACCGAGCACCACCCAATGTCTATATAAATAAACTCATCAAAGATACCAGGCTTATGATTTTGTATGATAGACGCGCGTTCCGTCTTCAAAAGACTCACAAGTGACACTCGAATCAATAAAGTTAAAAATTCAAATCAAGTTCGAAGTTGAAGAGCATTAAGGACCCACAAATTCCAGAATATTTGCCAAATACAGCTAAGGTAATCTATTCCTTGAGGTAGACAATCCTTAGTTCTCGAAAAATTCAAAGTTTTGTTAACTGTTGATTTATAATATACATGTATGACCAAATCAATTATATGTTATGTCAACACATAGGTGCTGACTACTAGGCTGGTGATACCCTCTGGGGAGAAAAAACCCATAAGCAGTGGCATCGACCCAGTGGTTGTAACAAAACTCATCAAAGATACCAGGCTTATAATTGTGTACGCCAGACGCGCGTTTTGTCAACAAAAGAATCACCAGTGACGCTGGAATCAATAATTTTAAAAAGCCAAATCAAGAGTGAAGTTAAATAGCATTGAGGACCATACCTTTACCGATGTGAATTTGACAATTGCGTAAACAATGACTGACTTAGAAAAATCCGGTTCCAGCTGTTACACACATATGAAGATTTCCAGAACATAGGCCTGTGCTAGTTTTTTGCACTCTCTAAATCTAACAAGCCATACCATATAGTGGGCATTAAATGGCCCCAACATAAACAATGTGAACAATTCAAATGAGAAAACTAACGGCCTAATTCATAACAAAACAATTTACGAAAAACAAATATGACAGACATGAACTAACGACAACCACTGCACAATCTCAATTATAAATAAGAAGATGTGGTATGAGTGCCAATGAGACAACTAACAATCCAAGTCACAATATTTAAGTAAACAATTATAGGTCAAAGTACGGCTTTCAACACGGAGCCTTGGCTCACACCGAACAGCAAGATATAAAGGGCCCAAAAAAAGACTAGTGTAAAACAATTCAAACAGGAAAACCAACGATCTAATCTATATAAAAAATGAGAAACGAGAAACACTTATGAACCACACCAACAAACGACAAACACTGAACAACAGGCTCCTGACTTAGGACAGGTGCATAAAAATGCAGCGGGTTTAAACGTTTTAACAGGCGCCAACCTTTACCCTAACCTGAAACAGTGGTATAACATTACAACATAAAAAGAAACACAATAAAATATCAATTGAAATGGCTTAACTCGATCAAAAAAGACAATAAACAAAAACAAGTAAATATACACTGAACGAATAAGTTTGATCTATGACACAATGTAAATAAAAAAGATGTTTCAATGTCAAAAAGACAACTTTAACCTAGGACAAAATGGATTACCTTAAGACCTATATTGGACATGTCTGAAGTTGTAATTCAATGAAATTGAAATTGTTTAATTCATTGTGTCGCATTTTACCCGAACAAGTACTAACAACAGATTTTGTTGTACAATGTATATTGAAACGGCCATTTTGTTCTAAACTGCTCTTGTAAGACTGAACATTGCAAGTAAGTTATTTCCGTCTTTCAGTCAATTTCTAAGCTTATTCATCTGATAAATTCAATAATGTTTAGACCATTCGCATGCAGTAAATTAAGATCTGGCCACCGTTTCACAAAGCCTTCTTAACTTATGATCATCGTATCATTTTACGATCCTTTTACGTGTGGTTCTACGTTCCCGTTACGTGTGTTTCACAAAGGCATCGTAAAGGACTACTAAATTGATCGCAAGTTACGCACTGTGTATCATCGTAAGTGTGTCGTAAAAAGGAACTCTCTAAACAGGAGGTGTGAATCGTAGTTTATTTACATCGGAATATGGCGCACTCTTCTTTCACAGTGACAGGAATATTGCAGACCATCATCTGCGCGTGTAAGTATTCATTAGAATAAGCTGGAAAAATGGAGAAGATTAAAAAAGAGGGACAGCCTAACTTTACACATGAGGAAACAGTTCAATGACCAGATATGGAGTTGACTTGAATTATATGATTTGCATGACTCACAAACTGTTATACTATGGTGTGGTGCTGTCGACACTGGTGTCATTTTCTGTCTCTACTTGAATATATGTGTGTTAATTATTGATCTTTTTGATGCACCAGAATGAAGTTTGAAATGATTTCAAACTTTTGGTTCAAACATCAAAAAGACTTTTAACAATACATGGATAAAAATGATTACTCATATTGATATGTACCATTAGTTTAAGAAAATCTGTTTTGAATTAAACTTCGTCCTGTCATCAAACCATCACCTAGTGGTCCATTATATAAATGTTCCTGTTGATTAGCATCTTCCTCCTCCATTTCTACATCCTCAGCCATAGGAAGACCCTTATTAATGCATAAGTTGTGAAGAATACATGTTGCAGTAATCACTTGGTAGCATTTTCCAGGCGAGAACATCATACAACCAGTTGATTTATGTAGGCACCTACAGGTATATAAAACATTCTTTTTAATGTGTCACCTTGCGCAGATACCACAAATTCATGTATCAATGTTTTGATTGTTGCCATAGTTTTGACTATTTGAGTATTAGTACATTAAAGTTATATGAAACGAGTTACTGGAGAAAAACAATTGCTCAACAAAAACATGTATATATATATATATATACGCCTCTAACAAGAAATTTGTTTTGCGTCCACACGTATAAAAATTGCGGTTTTTATCCAACGCAATCATAGTTTTAAACCGCATTTTTTATACGTGTGCATGCAAAACAAATTTCTTGGTAGAGGGGTCTAAATACAGCACAAACAACATTTTCCAAAAGACCAAAAATGTGAAAAAGTATATTTCAACAAAACGCATTTGACTACCAGGTCGAACAACTGATGTTCTTAAACCCTGCTGACTGCCATTGGCGATTGCCAAATAAACGGATCACAAGATGTAACAAAATGGATCTTGTTATTAATTTATTACCAAACAGAAAACAATAAACTTGCGGACAAGATGGTATACCGCAAACATGAGGTGCAAACATTTGTACACCATATCCGGATTTCGACAATTAATGTCTCTTCAGTGATGTTTGGAATCGAAATGGTATTTGGAAGGTCATATAGTTTACCTCAAATTAGGATACCTTCAAGAGTCTATCCAAATACCGTTTCGTTTCCTAACATCACTGAAGAAACCACATATTCATATTTATAATGTTCAGAAGTATTTATAATTATTTGTGAATTTTTTTTCAAACTTATTTCAAATTATATATACATGTGCGAACTAATACAGTAGGGTTTAAGTGTGGCATGAATATAGGAGAATGATACCTTTTTATAAATTAACGATAACGGTGTTCGAATCCATTTCGCAATACCATAAATGGGAAAATTTTGAATAAATAAAGGAAATGAGACTTCTCAATCCCTGAATAAATTTGCCAAAAATCAAGGTCGCCAAACGTCATATCATTATCGGACTAGGAATAGCCTAATGATTTGTTTTCCTTAAAAATGTTAATTCGATTTTTCAGTATTATAATGATCCCTATCAATACTCCCAGTTCACAAATTCCCGGATTTAATTAAATTTTACCCCGAAATCCAGAAGTTTACTTTTGTAAATGGCACGACTATTCCAAGAGCAAAGAAAGTTTGACCTAAATTTCTAGGAAAGCTGTTATACTCATTTCACCTTAAATGTATTCTTATATTAAAGAAAGTACCTCGGCCAGCGACGTTTTATTAATGTATTTCATAATCGTTATATTAAAAAATAGAAGTGTGCCTGTCCATAGGATTTGGATTTTTTGGTACTAGCTGCATAAAGAGGGCTTAATTTCTCCTCTTACAGTTTTTAAACTACAGCTTTAATATTCTGTAGGTTGTTAATACACATAATAGGGGCATGCCTGTCCACAAGAGTTAAAAAAACATATATATATAGAAAATGATAGGTAGTTTGACTAGCTCATTTTTTTCATTCAAGCTGCATAAGGTAAGTTAACTTCCTTTTGTTAAAGCTTCGAAGAACAACATAATGGCATACTTTATAGCATTAATCAACTATGGCAGGGGATCAAACCTGAGGTGTCTTACGTGTATACACAATCAGTTTACGTTTTACTTTTGTATTACTGTTTGTTAAATATAATGTATGCAAACCTATCTTCATGCATGTAGACGGGCCACGGGGGCATATTCAATATGTACTTTTTATTTAATTTTCTCTGCTGTAGATGAGTGCCAAAGACGAAGTTATTTACTTCCAAAAAAGTAGATACAAAAAATATTATCTACAAGTGTAGTTTTAATTTTTGAAAACTGCGGCGTTTTAATGTATATACTATTGTAGCTTTGTATATTATTTTGGTGTATTATTTGTAAAAAATAATGATATAGAATCTACATTGTATTAATATGTTCATTGTGAGCTCTTTTAATGGGAATAAAACATCCTCCTTTAAACGTTTTGTCGATTACCACAGT